CTTTGTAATAGCTTTCAGTAACTGTTATGTTGGTGATAAGTGTCTTTGTTTTTATGATAGTTATTGACTTTGTACTAGCTTTCAGTAACTGTTATGTTGGTGATAAGTGTCTTTGTCTTTATGATAGTTATTGCCTTGTACTAGCTTGCAGTAATTGTTATGTTGGTGATAAGTGTCTTTGTCTTTTTGATCATGAGGATAGTTGTTTTTTGTACTTTGTGCCAATCTGATAAGTCGAGGCATTTCAAAACTAATTTTTACAGTTTGGTGACTGGGATGGAAAAGTAGAAGGGTGGGATGAGTTAAATGGAAGAGAAGGGTTGGATGAATTAAATGGAAGAAAAAATGTTGATGATGTGGAAATGTTATATTTCACGTAGGAGGTTGTCAGATGAGAAGATAATTAACAGTGTAGAGTATATTCTATATGTATTACATAATTATGTGATGATTTATTTGGCAAACATATTTATGATGTTGTAAAATAAGATGTAAGCTTGATCACCACTGTATCTAACAGAACTACTCATTTATATATATATATCATATAAAAGTAGTAAATTGATAATTGAATTGATTTGTTGTCATGAACAGTATACATAAATTATTTTATTTGATAAATAATAAGTTATATCTAGATGCATAGTGAATTTTCATGCAAATTTCAGAGATAATATTTTTTTTTCCATAAAAAAAATCTTTTGATAGGTTCATATGTATCAACTGTCATTTCATAAAAGTTTCAAAGACAGCTAAATAACATATGGATGATACACATAATCTTTGTGTTAAGGGGGAATCGGATAATCTAATAGCAGACCACAATACTTGAGTAACACAAATCAAAGAGACGTATATGTGGAGAAAATAATAGGAGACACATGTACAAATTAATGCAACAAATCAGAAGCAAGTAGACACATGTATATACAAATTAACTCAACAATTCAAAAGCAAGTAGACACATGTATGTACAAATTAACTCAACAATTCAAAAGCAAGTAGACACATGTATGTACAAATTAACTCAATAATTCAAAAGCAAGGAGACACATGTATGTACAAATTAACTCAATAATTCAAAAGCAAGGAGACACATGTATGTACAAATTAACTCAACAATTCAAAAGCAAGGAGACAAATGTATGTACAAATTAACTCAACAAATAAAAAGGAAGGAGATACATGTATATACAAACTAATGCCAAAAGTTAAAAGCAAGGAAACTCATGTATGTACAAATTAACTCAACAATTCAAAAGCAAGGCAACACATGTATGTACAAATTAACTACACAAATCAACAGCAAAGAGACATCTGTATGCACAAATTAACTCAACAATTCAAAAACATGGTGACACATGTACTGCTCAAATCAAAAGCAAAGAGACATCTGTTTGCACAAATTAACTCAACAATTCAAAAGCATGGCAACATATGTACTGCTCAAATCAAAGCAAAGAGACATCTGTATGCACAAATTAACTCAAGAATTCAAAAGCATGTATTGATCAAATCAAAAGCAAAGAGACATATGTATGTACAAATTAACTCAACAAATCAAAAGCAAGTTGACACAGTTAAGTTGAGTTAAGCCCTTTTCAACTGATTTTTATGCCCCCGCCGTAGCGGAGGGGGCATTAAGTTTTACCCTTGTCCGTACGTACGTCCCAAAGTTGGTTTCTGTTCTCTAACATTAGTTTGCCTCAACCAAATGTTATGAAACTTATACACAATGCTTATAACCACTAAATACAGATCAAGTTTGAATTTTGGTGGCACCACTTTTACCGTTCTAGAGTTATGCCCCTTTACAAATGGAAAAATTGCTAAATTTTTCGTTTCCGTTCTCTAACTTAAGTTTGCCTCAACCAAATGTTATGAAACTTATACACAATGCTTATTACCACAATATACAGATCAAATTTGAATTTTGGTGCCGTCACTTTTACTGTTCTAGAGTTATGCCCTTTACAAGTGGAAACATTTTTCATTTTTTTTCTAAATAAGTATTTTTAAAATTGGAGTTATTTTTCTTTGTCCATGATAATAGTTGAATCAACTACAATCAATGCTTTATACAATGCAATGTTTAATTTTACCTTCCACTGATAAATTAAAGCAATTTTTACCCTTCATTTCTAAAAATATTTTAAAGTCTTCTTTGAAAATTGGAGTTATCTTTCTTTGTGCTTTAAATTGTACATGTGCATAATGGTAGTTGAATCAACTAGAACCAATGCTTTATACAATGCAATATTCAATTTTACTTCCTACTGATAAATTAAAGCAATCTTTACCATTCAGTGCTTACAAGCACTTTGATTACTGTTCTAGAGTTATGCCTATAGTTCATGTCTGTCATATTTGTTTCTCCTAAAATGTTATGTTATAGATTGGCCATTAGTTTTGTCAATTGAATTGTTTCATATTAATTATATGACTGCAAAAAATTAAATAGAAATCTATGAAATTTAAACACAAGGTTTATAACCATAAAAGGAAGGTTGGGATTGATTTTGGGAGTTATAGTCCTAACAGTTTAGGAATTAGGGGCCAAAAAGGGGCCCAAATAAGCATTTTTCTAGTTTCCAGACAATAACTTGTGGAACGATGTATGGATCTCTCTAAAATTATACCACAAGTTTCCATACCACAAAGGGATGGTTAGGATTGGATTTGGGGGGTTATGGCTCAAACCATTTAGGAATTAGGGGGAAAACAGGGGTTTCCTGGTTAATGGACAATTAAAAAAAAGTACAATGTTAAGTTTGGATTACCTCCCTTACACTGCTTTTAAATTATGTATAAAGAAATGTTGTATTGTCTTGAGGTGATTAGCTGTCAATTTATTTTTAGAAGTTACTATTTAAAAATGCTGATTAAGGAATATTTAATATATTAATTTTAGCCATGATTATGTATGTCATTTTCTATTTTAAGACTTTTATGATGTATTTAAATGGGTAATTATGGGACAATTTTTTTCTCATTTCTGATTTCAGAAATTAAAAAGAGAATTTCTTCAATAATTTTTTTTTTAAAAAAAAAGGGGGTTTGGGTTGGTAAAAATTTGTTATTGTTTTTTTTGGGGGGGGGGGGGTCAATTCACAACAGCATAATGTATTGCACAAAAGCAAAAAATTGAATATAAATTCAAATCATATAACCAATTCTAAGTTCTTTGACTACAGTTATTCTGTGTCAGAAACTTATTATGTGTCAAATATTTAATTACAATCCAATTAAATTCAGACCTGTATCAAGTGCGAATATTGTGTCCATTTTGGCCCCAACTGTTCAGGGTTGGACCTCTGCGGTCGTATCCAGCTGCGCTCAGCGAAGCAATTTATTTTAGCATGTCAGGGCCTTTTAAAGCGGACTATATGGTATGGGTTTTTATGCGCCCATTTACGGGATGATTATGGTATACCGTTGTCCGTCTGTCCATCCGTCCTTCGTCAACATATCGGACATTAACTCAAAAACGCTTAAACCAATTTGCATAAAACTTTGGTGAATTGTTTATATCTATTGACGTGAGCTCCCTTTCGTTTTTTATAAATTTTAGATTTTACTTTTCCGAGTTATGGGGTTTTATTCATTGAAAAAAGGGGGATTTTCAAGTTTTCGGGAAATAACTCAAGAATGCTTTCACCAACTTGCAAGAAATTGTGGTGAATTGTTTATATCTATTGACATGAGCTCCCTTTCGATTTTTGTATATTTTAGATTTTACGTTTCCGAGTTACAGGGTTTTATTCATAAAAAAAAGGGGGATTTTCAAAAATGCTTTCAGCAGTTCTTATGAAACTTTGGTGAATTGTTTATATCTATTGATGTAAGCTCCGTTTGGACGTCCGTCCATTGTCAACATGTCGGACATTAACTCAAAAATGCTTTAACCAATTTGCATAAAACTTTGGTGAATTGTTTATATCTATTGACGTGAGCTCCCTATCGTTTTTTATAAATTTTAGATTTTACATTTCTGAGTTATGGCGTTTTATTCATTAAAAAAGGGGGGTTTTCTAGTTTTCGGACAATAACTCAAAAATACTGTCAGCAATTCTCATGAAACTTTGGTGAATTGTTTATATCTATTGATGTAAGCTCCCTTTACATTTTCATAAATTTCTAATATGACATTGAGAATTAATTGAACTTTAGTTGTTTATAGTCTGACAACAGATTTACTAAGTATTGTGCAACAGCACAGTGTATTGCACAACAGCAAGAAATCTTTAATTGAATATAAATTCAATTCATATAACCAATTTCAAGTTCTTTGACTATTCAGAAACCTATAATATGTCAAATATTTAATACAATCCCAATTCAGACATGTATCACGCTTGAATATTGTGTCCATTTTTGCCCCAACTGTTCAGGGTTGGACCTCTGCAGGCATATCCAGCTGTTCTCATTGTTGAAGGCTGTACGGTTGCCTATAATTGCTTTCATCCACTTTTGAACTTTGGTGGATAGTTGTCTCATTGGCAGTCATACCAGGTACATCTCCTTATTTTTATAGTGTACACAAGATATAGTAAACCAGCTGAAATATGTGTACACCATATGATATAGTATACACAAGATGAAGTAAACCAGCTGAAATATGTGTACACCATATGATATAGTATACACAAGCTGAAGTAAACCAGCTGATATATGTGTTCACCATATGATATAGTGTACACAAGCTGAAGTAAACCAGCTGATATATATGTACACCATATGATATAGTGTACACAAGCTGAAGTAAAGCAGCTGATATATGTGTACACCATATGATATAGTGTACACAAGCTGAAGTAAACCAGCTGATATATGTGTACACCATATGATATAGTGTACACAAGCTGAAGTAAAGCAGCTGATATATGTGTACACCATATGATATAGTGTACACAAGCTGAAGTAAACCAGCTGATATATGTATATGTGTTCACCAAAGTGATGTTCAATATAAATCCACATTATCTACTTTTTTATTACAGAATAATGGGGATCACCGATTGACTTCTCTGCTGTCTACCTGGAGAGGACCTCGTACCGTCATCATTCCAAAGACTGACCAAGGATACGGCTTTACTCTAAGACACTTTATTGTGTATCCTCCAGATATAACACGGTCCAGTCCAAATCTACATGTAAGTTATGTGGTCTAGAAATGATACTTCATTGTTTATCCTTCAGATATAACACGGTCCAGTCCAAATGTACATGTAAGTTATGTGGTCTAGAAAGGACACTTTATTGTTTATCCTCCAGATATAACACGGTCCAGTCCAAATCTACATGAAAGTTATGTGGTCTAGAAAGGACACTTTATTGTTTATCCTCCAGATATAACACGGTCCAGTCCAAATCTACATGTAAGTTATGTGGTCTAGAAAGGACACTTTATTGTTTATCCTCCAGATATAACACGGTCCAGTCCAAATCTACATGAAAGTTATGTGGTCTAGAAAGGACACTTTATTGTTTATCCTCCAGATAACCATGTCAGCTTTTCTCATCACTTGGCGTCCGTCGTCCGTCGGCGTCGTTAGCTTTTTACAAAAATCTTCTCCTCTGAAACCACAGGGCCAAATTTAACCAAACTTGGCCACATTCATCATTAGGATATATAGTTTAAAAAATGTGTTCGATGACCCCGCCAACCAACCAAGATGGCCGCCATGGCTAAAAATAGAACATAGGGGTAAAATGTAGATTTTGGCTTATATCTCTGAAACCAAAGCATTTAGAGTAAATCTGACATAGGGTAAAACTGATTATCAGGTCAAGATCTATCTGCCCTGAAATTTTCAGACAAATCTGACAACCTGTTGTTGGGTTGCTGCCCCTGAATTGGTAATTTTAAGGAAATTTTGCAGTTTTTGGTTATTATCTTGAATATTATTATAGATAGAGATAAACTGTAAACAGCAATAATGTTCAGCAAAGTAAGATCTACAAATAAGTTGTCATGACCAAAATTGTCAGTCGATCCCTTTAGGAGTTATTGCCCTTAATAGTCAATTTTTAACAATTTTTTGTAAATTTTTGTAATCTTTTACAAAAATCTTCTTCTCTGAAACTACTGAGACAAATTTAACCATACTTGGCCATAATCATTATTAGGGTATCTAAATTAAAAAATTTGTCCGATGACCCCGCCTTCCAACCATCATGGCCGACTTGGTTAAAAATAGAACATAGGGGTAAAATGCAGTTTTTGGTCTATATCTCTGAAACTAAAGCATTTAGAGCAAATCTGACAGGTGTCAAAAATGTTCATCAGATTAAGATTTATCTGCCCTGAAATTTTCAGACGAATCCAACAACTCGTTGTTGGGTTGCTGCCCCTGAGTTAGTAATTTTTAACAAAAGTTTTGCAGTTTTTTGTTATTATCTTAGATATCATTATAATATCTAATATCAAATACTATTAATTATGATTTTAACCTTATTTTACATGATTTCCAAAGCATCAGTAAATACAGGTGAGCGACACAGGCTCTTGAGAGCCTCTAGTTGTTATTATCTTAGATATCATTATAATATCTAATATCTAATACTATTAATTATGATTTTAACCTTATTTTACATGATTTCCAAAGCATCAGTAAATACAAGGGAGCGACACAGGCTCTTGAGAGCCTCTAGTTATTTAATGAAATAATATTTGAAGAGCTATGTTCTCATATGTCTAATTTTAAAATTCTCCAAAGTATTATATATATTTTAAAGGTGCTTGAGATGAGCAATGCATATAACATTGGTTTGGATCCATGTTTTCATGATTCCCTATTCTCTGCTTGAAACATTCACTTCAAAGCATCTGAAAAAATCATTTTATGTCTACTGATTTAAGATAAACACTACTCTGCTGTTTGATTGGGAATTCTTGGTTTTGATATTCACCGTTTATTAAATCCTCAGTTACTGCAGAACTAGTTAAGTTTTTGATTTAAAAGATCTTGATATAGAATTATACTTATATAATCATTCAAATTAGACAAGGGAGAGATTCTTTTGGTGATCACAAGTGGAATAGTTTGGAATTGTGGTAAGTGTCAGTTTGTTTTTTACAGTTACAGTTACAGTTTTATGCATTAAATATTTGTTACATACTTTTTTTTTTGCCTCATATTTCATATAAATATAATGTTTTATTTCAAAAAAATATTTTGAAGGTATTTATGGTTAAATTTTAACAAATCATTGAAAGAAACAGAATTGTCTGAAGTACACTTTTTTATTTGGTCATAACTTTATTATGTATCGTTCTTTTGATGTGAACATGTATAATATTTTTTTTACAATTTTGACAATTAAATTTGGTTGAAATATATAGCAAATTTTTGGACAAAAGAATTCTGGATTACTACCTTTGACTTTCTTGGTTATATGGTCACATATAATAAGACAAAGATCACTTTTGATTTTGAGGTAAATGCATCTAATGTCAAGGTCATAGTTATTAAAAAAAAAAGTAATTTTTTCCCTATTGCTAAAACAAAGACTACATATGGCACTATTGATTTTGAGGAGGTCAATATCTTCAAGGTCAAGGTTACTCAAAATATACCACATTTTGTGCAGAAAAGGGGTGTTTAGATTCTTAATTGAACACTACATGTAGGATTAAAACCTTACTTGGATATATGGTCAAATATAATTAGAGGAAGATCCGTATTAATTTTTGGGTCACTTATATCTAAGGCCAAGGTCAAGTTACATAAAATACATTTGTGTAAGGCAATGTTACGGACTAAAATCATTACAGAAAAGAATCATTCATTAAAGAAAACAGGTCAAACTATGCTATCAAGACACTAATGCTTTTCCCCCTTTTTAAAGGGGTGTGGGATATATGAGCTTGCTAATTTAAGTTTATTAATTCATAGATAAAAGCTAAAAAAATCATCTCGTCAACTTTCAGGTATTCCTTCTGGCCCCTCTTTAGTATATAACACATATTGTTTGAGTGTACCTTGCTCACCAAATTAACTTTCAATTTTCAGGTATTCCTTCTGGTCTCTCTTTAGTATAATATACATATTGTTTGAGTGTACCTTGCTCATCAATTTTATTGTTAACTTTCAGGTATTTCTCCTGGTCCTTCTTTATTTGTTTTTGGGTTTCCTTGCCCATCAATTTTAGTGTAAACTCGCAGGTGAAAATGAAATATATACAATGAAATGTTTGTTTCATGTAGAAGTTATAATTGTGTATCATTCATTTTCCAAATTTCTGTGGTATTTGTACATCTGCTGGATACATTTATGACTTGCAATAAAAAATTGACTGCTGTCTGTCTTATGAAGTGTTGATAACATATTCCATGTTATCAGTACAGTGTTGATAGTAATGCTTCATTAATACAACCCAAGATATTTCTGATGATGATTCATACATAAGGCTGTTATTCCTTTTGTAGATTGTCTTTCTTTCCTGACACAGGTTTACCATCTTTTGTAGACTGCTTAAATCATGTCTCACATATGTGTACCATAAGTTCTATCTTTTGTAGACTGCCTTAAATCATTCTTTACATATGTGTACCCTAAGTCCTAACTTTGTAGACTGCCTTAAATCATTCTTAACATATGTGTACCCTAAGTTCTATCTTTTGTAGACTGCCTTAAATCATTCTTTACATATGTGTACCCTAAGTCCTAACTTTGTAGATCGCCTTAAATCATTCTTAACATATGTGTACCTTAAGTTCTATCTTTTGTAGACTGCCTTAAATCATTCTTTACATATGTGTACCCTAAGTCCTAACTTTGTAGATCGCCTTAAATCATTCTTTACATATGTGTACCCTAAGTCCTAACTTTGTAGATCGCCTTAAATCATTCTTAACATATGTGTACCCTAAGTTCTATCTTTTGTAGACTGCCTTAAATCATTCTTTACATATGTGTACCCTAAGTCCTAACTTTGTAGATCGCCTTAAATCATTCTTTACATATGTGTACCCTAAGTCCTAACTTAGTAAACTTCCTTAAATCATGTCTAACATATGTATACCCTAAGTACTAACTTTGTAGACTGCCATAAATCATTCCTTACATATGTGTACCCGAAGTTCTAACTTAGTAAACTGCCTTAAATCATGTCTTACATATGTATACCCAAGTTCTAACATTGTAGACTACCTTGTTTGCAGATTTTCCTGAAATTGCAATAAAAGATCTTGCATTAATAAATGCACACATTAATTTCTGAATTCATTTACAGTAATAGTTTTAGAAAAATATTAAACAATGGCTTCATACTCAACATTTCATGCATTCTTTAAGAAAAGTTTCCCTTGAAACAAAAACTGTTGAGAAATTATGATGCTGATCAACTGTTACATACTACATTGTTGGTGTTCCATGGCTCGCTTCAAATAATTGTTTCTCCAAATAGTTGTTCAAGCATCACTTATATTACACAAAAATTCTTGCAATCACAGCTTTGAAGGATGATTGTTAAAGGTTTATACATTACACAGTAGAAATATTTGTGTAAATCTCCTCATGTTATTCAGATGAACCTTTATCTATTTTAGTAAAAATCTTTGTTGTTTAATCTAAATCAAACAAAAAACATCAGATAGCTGCTTCTTTATAATTACTAAAGCAATGTTGATGATTCCCTTGATGGGTAGGAAACAAGAGATATAAACCCTTGAAGGAGCTATAAACCTTTGAAGATTAGGGCATGGGAGCTAAATCCCTTGATGGGAAGGAAACAAGAGATATAAACCCTTGAAGGAGCTATAAACCTTTGAAGATTAGGGCATGGGAGCTAAAACCCTTAATGGGAAGAGCATAGGAGATGTAAACCCTTGATGGGTGAAGCATGGTAGATATAAATGTTTGATGGATAGGACATTGGAGATGTAAACCCTTGATGGGTGAAGCATGGTAGATATAAATGTTTGATGGATAGGACATTGGAGCTATAAACCTTTGAAGGGTATGGCATTGAAGCTAATGACCATTGAAGGGTAGGGCATGGAGATATAAACCTTTGATGGGTGAAGCATGGGAGATATAAACCCTTGATGGGTAAAGCATGGGAGATATAAACCCTTGATGGGTAAAGCATGGGAGATATAAACCCTTGATGGGTAAAGCATGGGAGATATAAACCCTTGATTGGTAAAACATGGGAGATATAAACCCTTGATGGGTAAAGCATGAGAGATATAAACCCTTGATGGGAAAAGCAAGGGAGATATAAACCCTTGATGGGTAAATCATGGGAGATATAAACCCTTGATGGGTAAAGCATGGGAGATATAAACCCTTGATGGGTGAAGCATGGGATATAAACCCTTGATGGGTAAAGCATGGGAGATATAAACCCTTGATGGGTGAAGCATGGGAGATATAAACCCTTGATGGGTAAAACATGGGAGATATAAACCCTTGATGAGTAAAGCATGGGAGATATAAACCCTTGATGGGTAAAGCATGGGAGATATAAACCCGTGATGGGTAAAGCATGGGAGATATAAACCCTTGATAGGTAAAGTATGGGAGATATAAACCCTTGATGGGTAAAGCATGGGAGATATAAACCCTTGATGGGTAAAGCATGGGAGATATAAACCCTTGATGGGTAAAGCATGGGAGATACAAACCCTTGATGGGTAAAGTATGGGAGATATAAAACCTTAACCTACACTCACTGATTTTGGACAGGTATAACATACACATTGGGGGCATCTTTTTATTGAGATCCTCAGATGGAATTTTATATTTGGTTCCCTGTATGATGCTTTCTAAGTAAACTAATAAGGATACCAGCATGTATACAAGAACAGGAATAAGTCCTTAAACAAATCTACTTCAGTATACAAGAACAGGAATAAGTCCTTAAACAAATCTACTTCAGTATACAAGAACAGGAATAAGTCCTTAAACAAATCTACTTCAGTATACAAGAACAGGAATAAGTCCTTAAATCTACTTCAGTATACAAGAACAGGAATAAGTCCTTAAACAAATCTACTTCAGTATACAAGAACAGGAATAAGTCCTTAAACAAATCTACTTCAGTATACAAGAACAGGAATAAGTCCTTAAACAAATCTACTTCAGAATACAAGAACAGGAATAAGTCCTTAAACAAATCTACTTCAGTATACAAGAACAGGAATAAGTCCTTAAACAAATCTACTTCAGTATACAAGAACAGGAATAAGTCCTTAAACAAATCTACTTCAGTATACAAGAACAGGAATAAGTCCTTAAATCTACTTCAGTATACAAGAACAGGAATAAGTCCTTAAACAAATATACTTCAGTATACAAGAACAGGAATAAGTCCTTAAACAAATCTACTTCAGTATACAAGAACAGGAATAAGTCCTTAAACAAATCTACTTCAGTATACAAGAACAGGAATAAGTCCTTAAACAAATCTACTTCAGAATACAAGAACAGGAATAAGTCCTTAAACAAATCTACTTCAGTATACAAGAACAGGAATAAGTCCTTAAACAAATCTACTTCAGAATACAAGAACAGGAATAAGTCCTTAAACAAATCTACTTCAGTATACAAGAACAGGAATAAGTCCTAAAACAAATCTACTTCAGAATACAAGAACAGGAATAAGTCCTTAAACAAATCTACTTCAGTATACAAGAACAGGAATAAGTCCTTAAACAAATCTACTTCAGAATCAATTTTTGTAGTAGAAATGTGAATCCCTTTTAGGAAAGATATCTATAAGAAAAGAAAGATGATTCCCTTTTAGGCTGTATATCTAATTGAAAAGAATAGTGACTCCTTTTTGGGTGTAGATATCAAATAGAAAAAGAAAGGTAACTTCCTTTAGGGTAAATATTAAATAGAATGTAATGATGGCTCCCTTTAAGGCTAGATAATAAGTGAATATATTGATGACTGATCCATTTTATGGTAAATACAAAAAATGATAGATTGGCGACTCCCTTTTAGGGTAGTTATAGAAATTAATACAATGGCGACTCCCTTTTAGCAAATGTTTATGGTAGATATAGAAAATATATAAAATGGTGACTCCCCTTTAGGATAAATATATAAAAAATAATAGAATGGAAACTCCCATTTTAGGGTAGATATAGAAAATAATAGAATGGTGACTCCCTTATAGGATAAACATATAGAAAATAATAGAATGGTGACTCCCTTATAGGATAGATATATAGAAAATAATAGAATGGTGACTTCCTTATAGGATAAACATATAGAAAATAATAGAATGGTGACTCCCTTATAGGATAGATATATAGAAAATAATAGAATGGTGACTCCCTTATAGGATAAATATATAGAAAATAATAGAATGGTGACTCCCTTATAGGATAAACATATAGAAAATAATAGAATGGTGACTCCCTTATAGGATAAACATATAGAAAATAATAGAATGGTGACTCCTTTTAGGGTAGTTATAGAAAATAATAAAATGGTGACTCCCTTTTACATGTTTTAGGGTAGTTATAGAAAATAATAGGAAGTTGTCTTCCTTTTAGGGTAATGATCAATTATAACAGAATGGTGACTTCTATTAAGGACTAGGCTGGTAGAAAGTTTTTACTTTAGTGTCAATCATCTCAATAAGGCTCAGTTGGTTGTGTTGTACACTGGAATCTTAGGGTCTCAATAAGGCTCAGTTGGTGTTGTTGTACACTGGAATCTTAGGGTCTCAATAAGGCTCAGTTGGTTGTGTTGTACACTGGAATCTAATGGTCTCAATAAGGCTCAGTTGGTTGTGTTGTTCACTGGAATCTTAGGGGTCTCAATAAGGCTCAGTTGGTTGTGTTGTACACTGGAATCTTAGGGGTCTCAATAAGGCTCAGTTGGTTGTGTTGTACACTGGAATCTTAGGGTCTCAATAAGGCTCAGTTGGTTATGTTGTACGCTGTAATCTTAGGGTCTCAATAAGGCTCAGTTGGTTGTGTTGTACACTGGAATCTTAGGGTCTCAATAAGGCTCAGTTGATGTTGTTGTACACTGGAATCTTAGGGTCTCAATAAGACTCGGTTGGTTGTGTTGTACACTGGAATCTTAGTGTCTCAATAAGGCTCAGTTGATGTTGTTGTACGCTGGAATCTTAGGGTCTAAATAAGGCTCAGTTGGTGTTGTTGTACACTGGAATCTTAGGGTCTCAATAAGGCTCAGTTGGTGTTGTTGTACACTGGAATCTTAGGGTCTCAATAAGGCTCAGTTGGTTGTGTTGTACACTGGAATTTTAGGGTCTCAATAAGGCTCAGTTGGTTGTGTTGTACACTGGAATCTTAGGGTCTCAATAAGGCTCAGTTGGTTGTGTTGTACACTGGAATCTTAGGGTCTCAATAAGGCTTGGTTGGTGTTGTTGTACGCTGGAATCTTAGGGTCTCAATAAGGCTCTGTTGGTTGTGTTGTACACTGGAATCTTAGGGTCTCAATAAGGCTTGGTTGATGTTGTTGTACACTGGAATTTTAGGTTCTCAATAAGGCTCAGTTGGTTGTGTTGTACACTGGAATCTTAGGGTCTCAATAAGGCTCAGTTGGTTGTGTTGTACACTGGAACTTTAGGTTCTCAATAAGGCTCAGTTGGTTGTGTTGTACACTGGAATCTTAGGGTCTCAATAAGGCTCAGTTGGTTGTGTTGTACACTGGTATCTTAGGGTCTCAATAAGGCTCAGTTGGTTGTGTTGTACACTGGAATCTTATATAATTAGGGTCTCAATAAAGCTCAGTTGGTGTTGTTGTACACTGGAATTTTAGGGTCTCAATAAGGCTCAGTTGGTGTTGTTGTACACTGGAATTTTAGGGTCTCAATAAGGCTCAGTTGGTTGTGTTGTACACTGGAATCTTAGGGTCTCAATAAGGCTCAGTTGGTGTTGTTGTACACTGGAATTTTAGGTTCTCAATAAGGCTCAGTTGGTTGTGTTGTACACTGGAATATTAGGGTCTCAATAAGGCTCAGTTGGTTGTGTTGTACACTGGAATCTTAGGGTCTCAATAAGGCTCAGTTGGTGTTGTTGTACACTGGAATTTTAGGGTCTCAATAAGGCTCAGTTGGTTGTGTTGTACACTGGAATCTTAGGGTCTCAATAAGGCTCAGTTGGTTGTGTTGTACACTGGAATCTTAGGGTCTCAATAAGGCTCAGTTGGTGTTGTTGTACACTGGAATTTTAGGGTCTCAATAAGGCTCAGTTGGTTGTGTTGTACACTGGAATCTTAGGGTCTCAATAAGGCTCAGTTGATGTTGTTGTACGCTGGAATCTTACGGTCTCAATAAGGCTCAGTTGGTGTTGTTGTACACTGGAATCTTAGGGTCTCAATAAGGCTCAGTTGGTGTTGTTGTACACTGGAATTTTAGGGTCTCAATAAGGCTCAGTTGGTTGTGTTGTACACTGGAATCTTAGGGTCTCAATAAGGCTCAGTTGATGTTGTTGTACACTGGAATCTTAGTGTCTCAATAAGGCTCAGTTGGTGTTGTTGTACACTGGAATCTTAGGGTCTCAATAAGGCTCAGTTGGTGTTGTTGTACACTGGAATTTTAGGGTCTCAATAAGGTTCAGTTGGTTGTGTTGTACACTGGAATCTTAGGGTCTCAATAAGGCTCAGTTGGTGTTGTTGTACACTGTAATCTTAGGGTCTCAATAAGGCTCAGTTGGTTGTGTTGTACACTGGAATCTTAGGGTCTCAATAAGGCTCAGTTGGTGTTGTACGCTGGAATTTTAGGTTCTCAATAAGGCTCAGTTGGTTGTGTTGTACACTGGAATCTTAGGGTCTCAATAAGGCTCAGTTGGTTGTGTTGTACACTGGAATCTTATATAATTAGGGTCTCAATAAAGCTCAGTTGGTGTTGTTGTACACTGGAATTTTAGGGTCTCAATAAGGCTCAGTTGGTGTTGTTGTACACTGGAATCTTAGGGTGGAAATATATTTAAAAATCTTTATTCAACACAGGGTCAAATGAGATCAAGCACTTAACAGCCAGAATATCTCTGTACTTACTGCCACAAACCAACCAATAGGATTACGTCTTAAAAGTTATGACAACCTTGTCTTAGTTCTAACTAATTGAAGTAAAGATTGGATGAGATTGCTTTTAATTAGAAGATTTATGGAATGTACAACTGTATAAAACATTACAAAAACATTTGTCAACACTTGTAAACATTGCAATTAAAATAGTTGTACAACTTCTCATTTAAGTGTAAAATATTTATGTAAACACTTACTAGTATATATATATATATACATATTATATTAAGTTGATAAAAGCAGGCCATCTACTTGTGTTGGAATATAGAAGATGTTTGTATGATGTAATGTGAATGAGAAATAATGCATAGAGTTGACTATAATTAACAGACTGACAGAGCATAGTACTGCATCAGTAAATAATGGAAAGTAAACATTTGGCATCAGGTTATTTGAGTTTGTGGTGACATTAACCACTATAGATCTGATGCAGTATTATTCTTGTCTTTCTTATAGTAACTCTCTTAGTCATCTTAATGTCCAGCTATTTGTGGGTTTAGATTGTGTTTTAATATCTTTCATTTATTCATAGGAAGAAGACTATATAAGTACTGAGAACTTCATTCAAGGTAAGGAAAGTCATGTGATCATGCATGTAATGTAGAGGTAAGATAAATTATATCTCACTCTACATTCAGTAGCTAGGTAGCCTTGTTTGACCTCTGACATCATATACTACAACAGAAGTCATAATGGTCTAGCAAAATAAATATTATTGTTATATATTACATCATTCAAGAACTATTAAACAAGGACATGTTGTTCCAAATGAAACTTTATGTTACCACAATACGAAAGTCAATATCTGTTATATAGATGAAAAGGGACAAAAAGGTAAAATGTATACACAGAAGTTTTCTTCTCAAGTTTTATATATATTTAAATATAGGATTGGTAATGTAGATAAAAGGACTTGCACAATAATTGGACCACAATGATTCTGCATGTATGAGAATTAGGAAAACAATATTACAGTTTATTTGTATAGTAGCTTCACTTCCAACCACAAACCATATTATATTACAACCTTCTTTCTTGGTAAAGAAAAGTCTTGGTACAGCTTGACTTTCAACCACAAACCATATTATATTACAACCTTCTTTCTTGGTAAAGAAAAGTCTTGGTACAGCTTGACTTTCAACCACAAACCATATTATATTACAACCTTCTTTCTTGGTAAAGAAAAGTCTTGGTACAGCTTGACTTTCAATCACAAACCATATTATATTACAACCTTCTTTCTTGGTTAAGAAAAGTCTTGGTACAGCTTGACTTTCAATCACAAACCATATTATATTACAACCTTCTTTCTTGGTTAAGAAAAGTCTTGGTATAGCTTGACTTTCAATCACAAACCATATTATATTACAACCTTCTTTCTTGGTTAAGAAAAGTCTTGGTATAGCTTGACTTTCAATCACAAACCATATTATATTACAACCTTCTTTCTTGGTTAAGAAAAGTCTTGGTATAGCTTGACTTTCAATCACAAACCATATTATATTACAACCTTCTTTCTTGGTAAAGAAAAGTCTTGGTATAGCTTGACTTTCAATCACAAACCATATTATATTACAACCTTCTTTCTTGGTTAAGAAAAGTCTTGGTATAGCTTGACTTTCAATCACAAACCATATTATATTACAACCTTCTTTCTTGGTTAAGAAAAGTCTTGGTACAGCTTGACTTTCAATCACAAACCATATTATATTACAACCTTCTTTCTTGGTTAAGAAAAGTCTTGGTATAGCTTGACTTTCAATCACAAACCATATTATATTACAACCTTCTTTCTTGGTTAAGAAAAGTCTTGGTATAGCTTGACTTTCAATCACAAACCATATTATATTACAACCTTCTTTCTTGGTAAAGAAAAGTCTTGGTACAGCTTGACTTTCAATCACAAACCATATTATTTTACAACCTTCTTTCTTGGTAAAGAAAAGTCTTGGTATAGCTTGACTTTCAATCACAAACCATATTATATTACAACCTTCTTTCTTGGTTAAGAAAAGTCTTGGTACAGCTTGACTTTCAATCACAAACCATATTATTTTACAACCTTCTTTCTTGGTAAAGAAAAGTCTTGGTATAGCTTGACTTTCAATCACAAACCATATTATATTACAACCTTCTTTCTTGGTTAAGAAAAGTCTTGGTACAGCTTGACTTTCAATCACAAACCATATTATATTACAACCTTCTTTCTTGGTTAAGAAAAGTCTTGGTATAGCTTGACTTTCAATCACAAACCATATTATATTACAACCTTCTTTCTTGGTTAAGAAAAGTCTTGGTATAGCTTGACTTTCAATCACAAACCATATTATATTACAACCTTCTTTCTTGGTAAAGAAAAGTCTTGGTACAGCTTGACTTTCAATCACAAACCATATTATTTTACAACCTTCTTTCTTGGTAAAGAAAAGTCTTGGTATAGCTTGACTTTCAATCACAAACCATATTATATTACAACCTTCTTTCTTGGTTAAGAAAAGTCTTGGTATAGCTTGACTTTCAATCACAAACCATATTATATTACAACCTTCTTTCTTGGTTAAGAAAAGTCTTGGTATAGCTTGACTTTCAATCACAAACCATATTATATTACAACCTTCTTTCTTGGTTAAGAAAAGTCTTGGTATAGCTTGACTTTCAATCACAAACCATATTATATTACAACCTTCTTTATTTGTAAGGGAAATCCTTGATGTAACTTTTCATTAACAAACCATATTGTATTACAGTCTATGTTTTAACAGACGAAGTAGTGGATGTGGGTGGCTGTTGAAACTTATTTTTTTTCATTTCTTGAATTAAATTGGTTACTTAATAGTATAGGTATTGTAATATCTGTAGATGTCAATCTACTTGTCTTTAAATGTTTAGGCGACAGTCTCATCTTTCAATCATATATAACAGTTTCCTATCATGCAATAAGATTTGTATAAACAGATATATATATACATACATCCTGAGAGTAATTAATTGTCACTTAGATTACATACTTGTAAGTGGTGCCACAAAGATTTGTCAACCTTTAATTTTCTTCCTATTTATAGGAAGGCAGATTTTTTAGTTGTTCACAAGTAGGAATGGTAGAGGCTAAGATTTTCTAGACAAAACATTCTGCTTCCAACATAGGTACTTAGCAAAATGGATTCAGTTTTAAACTTTAAAAATGCAACTGTTGTCTTTCATATGAAGTTTTTTTTAAAGAAAACTTAAATCCAAATAACCCAGAAGTATATTTCTTTTTTGTGTTTTTTAGGATCTCGACGTAGAAGTAAACATGGTGGATCAGAACCTATGGACACAATTTTTGTTAAGAATGTGAAAGAAGACAGTCCTGCCTATTTAGCTGGTTTATGTACAGGGGATAGGATTTTATCTGTGAACAATTTTCCTGTTACAGGGAAAACATATCAGCAAGTTATCTCCCTTATACAGTCAGGTGAATCAAGACTTAAACTGGAAGTTTTGCCACAAGACCAGGATATTTTACAAATGGTAAGTGTTTAGTTAGCATAGTAAGTTAAATCTATCCTGTCAGGGCTTCTTATTTTGATGGAATAATTAGGATGTTCTACTTATGGTAAAGTTATTGTGAATAGGGGATCAGTTCAATCAGTTATTGCCCTTTAAAAAGACTTGTGACTGTGTGTGTGTGTTTGTGTTACTGGGTTCATAACATCCTAGACTTCAAGTCATGTTTACAAATTTCTTCTAGAAATGTTGTGACCAATGGTCGGTTGACAGTTTGTGTGTTGTGTATCACTGTGTTCTTTTAAGTGTGGTATTGCAAGGGGATGCTTTGCTTTGAAATTTTTGTTTATTTGATCAAGGACATTTGATCAAGAAATAAAAATTAGAAACATTTGAACCAGCGTAAAATGGTACTTACAAAGAATATTCAGTAAATCATAGCAGTACTTAATTGTCAATACAGTGTCAAAGTCACCTAGCTAAAAAATATAAAGAAATCTAATTTATAAAGACATTAAAAAAAAGAGATTTAAAAGTTTTCTATAGAACTTGTTGGTATTTAAGTCCTTAAATATTGTATTTAATTCTGACCACACATTTATTCAAATAATTGAACAAACATAAAGTTTAGAATGGCAGAAATCCAATGACATCACATCATCCACACATTAAAACTTGAAACCCTTTCATGTCCTTCAGAAGAAAAAAACCATTAAGATGGTTGACTAATTGATTGATGTTAAAGGTTTAAGTAAGCAGATATCCTTTTTGTTTGCTTGTGTAAATGATGGAAACTTATACCTTTAAAAAAAGATATTATTGTCGCTTCACAATATAGACACTTCACACTAAATAGAACAAATCTTTGATAGAAGTATTTTGACTGCAAGTACAATTTTGTAAAATGATACAGATCCAAAAACTTTGTTATTTTGAGTCTTATTGTGCATTTCTAATTATGTTTTTCTCACAGAATTGAAGTTCTGTAAACTTCCAGTGGGAATGCAAAACCCACTGGTATGTTCTCCTAAAATCTTATAATGGCAATACATACTTTTTATCCTGAAATCTTATAATGGGCAATAATATATTTTTATCCTGATGTTTTTTCTCCTCTTAGTAAAAGCTTATTGATAGTGTATATTCTCTAATTACTTGGATGTTCATTTTAATACCTTGGCCTGAAGGGAGCCATGAAGAATTACCTTTGTCTACATCTGTATGTCACAGTAAAGTAAGTCAGCCACGACCATGTCAAATATTCAATGTTGTTATGTATGAGCCACTAAAGTTAAATTCAAATTTAACATATTTGATGCTTGATGGTCCTGAGTTTTGCCCCTTGATATTGTTGAAAGTTTTCAGTGATTTGATTGTAACTGTTTCTCTCCACCTATTGCAGTTCATTCAAAATTCTGAGTTCAATTTTTTTTTATGATTTTTATCTTGCCTTGAAGGAGTCAATAAGTGAATCCCAAGGTATGCTATTTTTAGTGGCACCATCAGCAGTTTCTTAAAGTTTGTGAATAGGTCTGTTTAAGGGGAACTACTCATGATAAGTCAATGACATTTGGTATGCATTTGTATAATCATTGGTACATCTCATTTCCGGGGAGATAATTTGGCTCTGCCCCCTCAGTCATGGTCTATTGACTTTGAAACTTTTGCATAGTTTATATATCTTAAAATTAATGATTAGGTCAGTTTAAGGAGAACCACTTATGATAATTAAAAAAAAAAAGATATTTGGTATGCAGTTGTATTAGCATTGGCATATCTCATTTCCATGGAAATTATTTAGCCCTTTACATTGAGTCATTGTTCATTGACTGAGTATTTTGCATAATTTAAACATGTTAAATGTGAAAGTGTTATCATTTTAATTTCAACATTTATACATTTATATCAAAATTACAGACAGGCAAGACATATCTCTGTGTCAACAGTTTATACACAATTTAAACAGAATATGACTCATCAGGCTGTGTATATTTTTCAGACATTAATGTTTTATTATCAGTAGTACTATTTGTTTAACATGTCTGACATAACAACCTTATTATGCAATAAAATAGATTGTGTTCTCTTAAGCTGACAAGTTTCAAATTTAATTAAATTTATAAAGTGAACAATTTATTTTCTATAATTCAAGAAAAGAACCATGACAATTGTAATAAAGAAAGTAATCGTCTCTCTCAAACAGCTTACTTTTAGTCTATGATAAACCACAAAGTTTTAATTCCCACAAGATTTATTTAAATGTGATTTTTTGGCAGCTGATAAAGTTATAATAAGTCACAGGATTATATTTGTACTGAATTTAACTTCTGAAGAAGCAGTTTTATGCATTAATTGATTTGTGACATCAAATGAAATGGAAAGGGAGAAATTTTTTTTTTACATTTATTTGCTTGATATTTGTATTCACTAAACCCTCCCCATGCCCCCAGGAATCCCCATGCCCCCAGGGATATTGTTAATTTGTTCAAATTTGATATAACTTTTACTAGGTTAAGCTTATTTCAAAACAAATACACAAAGTTATCAAAGCAATTGTATTTAAATTAGGTATATAACAAAACTTTGAATGGTTAAGATATTAAAAAAAAAATTGTCTTTATCAGAGGATTTTTTTCTTAGGTATTTCATTGAAAAAAATCTTTAGATAAACTTGGCTATTTAAAATCTTTATGTTCTTTCCTATGTAAACAATTGACACAACAGGTAAATCTCAGGTGTGCAGACAGGTAAATGTTAACTGTTATGTCTGTCACCATCATTTCTACTTATTGTTATAAGATTGTTCTAATGAGAGCTGGTTAAATATTATTGATGAATCGCTGCACCATATGTGGGTGTCCTTTTCCTTGGGGAAAGTTTAACAATTAACTTGATTTGTTGAGGTTTGTGACTGGTATATTATTACAATGTATTATGGAGGAGAGAACATGGAAATAAATTATATTGTGTGAAACAAATTGTTCAATTTATTCTGAGAAAACAGTTTATTCTTAGTGACATTTTTATTTAATCTGATTGTAAGGAATCTTATTATAGTGTGTATTGTTCTGTCTTAAAAAGGTAGGTTCAGCTCTTCTGTTATTTGTTTTTTGGTCACATGTTCCAGGTATTTAAGCCTCAATAAAGCATTATAGTGATTTGAAGGTGTTTTTGTTTAAAATTGATTAATAATTTGATGTTTTTTTTTTAAATTTGAGTGTGATTGCATACCTGTTTTAAATAAACTGGTGAATATGTGTGAGATTAAAACTTAACATCAGTGATAAACATTGATATAAAGAGATGCTCTCAGGTACACTGTACTAGGATTGTTTGACCTCATACAAGGTCAGACCGTACATATAAGTATCACTTCTATATCCTTATGTGGTTAAGGATTCTTCTTACTTTGTTGCTATATTTAAATGTTGATATAATTAGGTGTGAACTCTCACTTCATCAGGATCTGAAATATGTTGACAATTTGGAAAAAGGAATTATGATTTATTTACTAAATTAATTTTGTGTTTGGAGGTAAATTAGCAATGTAGAATGTTAAGGGATTTAATGACAAAGATTAACCCTATTTGATTATAATTATTTAATATGGACCTTTGTTATATGGCTCTGTTTGGATTCTAATGGATGCCTCTTGATACGTACAATAAGCAGGAATAATAGATATGCATATCGAAAAGGAAAAGAGCATTGATATAAAGTTATAAATATGTAGTATAGTGATTTCATTTGACAGTCTCCTCTTGTTGTCTTTTTCAGGCATACAAAAACACACATACTTTATCCCAAGATTCTTTGTATCATGGTCGTGGCAATACAAACACAGCTTCAAGGCTAAACTCATCTCAAGGATATACTTTATCTTCCATGGAGAATATAGCTCCCTCTAGTGGTGGATATCAGGAACATTCTGCCACTGGTAGTGATGGACAAGCAGAAATGGAGGAATACAGTCCAGAACGTAACATAAAATCTACAGTGTCTTATACTACTAGTGTTTATCGTGAACCCAGTGGATATAATGGTAGAGGTGAACCAAGATCTTTTGTTGATACACGTAAAGAATTTGAAGAGAGGGTTAAAGATTACTCCGACCCTCCACCTAATAAAACATTCTCCTTTGGACTATACTATCCAACACCAAAGAAAGAAAGTCGAACAGAGGTAACCTTTAGACGAGGTCGAGACAATGTACTGCAGCCTAATGATTCACAAGAAAATATTGCTAAAACTGTAAGGACTGCTCGAGTTATTCCTCTTGAAAAAAAATCTTCTAGAGAGGAACAATCACAAGAATCTTTAATTAGTTCAAGTAGTTCATCAGGATATACATTGTCATCTTCACCATCACGGCATAGTTACCCAGATTCCATCAGAAACAATCCCCCTTTACCCCCACCGAGGTCATTTACATCACCCGAGAGACAGAGAAGTGAAATTCATACAACTACACGCCATTATGTTCCTGTTGTACCACAAGGTCAGAGGTCAGCTAAAATGTCATCAAGTTTAGACAATTTAGATTCAAGGGCAGAAAATTATCAGACAGATAGGAATTTAAGAACTAATTATAGCACAACACGAATCTATGAACATCCAAGTAAAAATAGTAACACAAGAACGTTTATCGTGAAAATAAATGATAGTGGGACTGAAAGTGAGAACGATGAAAATTCCAATCAAAATCGTAATTCTTATGGAACAGCATTTGCATTGACTAGATCTCCCCATTCTACCTCTATAGAAATAAAGGCAAAAGAACGCCCTCGAGTGTCACAGCGTAAGAAACAGTTTGAAACAGGACAAATGGAAAAAACAGGATCTACTCCTAATGTCAACAGATACAAAACAGAGATACAGAAAATCACATCATTAGGAAAATTCAATAGTGTGTCTTCAAGATTACAAAATTTTGAAAAATCTGAAGATGGACAACAAAGTGCACCAAAGTTAAGGAGAATGTCGTCAACAGAAAGGTACTCATCCCCAGAGGCTCCCTCTATCAGTCACAATCAGAACCAACCACAATTTCAAGAACAGGCACCGATCAGAATTTATGTTTCTCAAGGGTCATCAAATAACCAGTCATCACCTATTGTTGAAATTGTACCTATGTCAATGTATCAAGGGGGTGAAGCTATGGACAGTAACAGGGGACCAGTCAATAAAACTCCAGTTCATGTCCAGCATGATGACATGGATGGTGGGAGAGCAGACCAAGAAATGGAAGATGATGATAAACATGGACAGAAACCTGTAAGAAAACCATCATTTTTAGCTGCAGTCACTGCTTCACAGGAACTTTGTAAGTTTAGTAGGAACATGTTGTTATTATCTTTCTCTTGTAGAGCATCATAAATTATATTTGTAGATACCAGTTCTTAGCAATAGTGAATGGTTCACATCAGTTCTTAGCAATAGTGAATGGTTCACATCAGTTCTTAGCAATAGTGAATGGTTCACATCAGTTCTTAGCAATAGTGAATGGTTCACATCAGTTCTTAGCAATAGTGAATGGTTCACATCAGTTCTTAGCAATAGTGAATGGTTCACATCAGTTCTTAGCAATAGTGAATGGTTCACATCAGTTCTTAGCAATAGTGAATGGTTCACATCAGTTCTTAGCAATAGTGAATGGTTCACATCAGTTCTTAGCCATAGCTAATGGTTCACATTATTTTGTTAGTTGGTTATTTATAGGTTCCCATTTCTAACATGTTTGAAAGCCCCATATGAGAGTTTATAACTGATCTCATGACTTGTAGGTACCAGTACATAACAGCTTTGAACAGGTTTTACCAGCATATTAAATGCAATGGTTTTATAGGTAGATACATGTAAATAAGATATTAAACACTTGGCTTGATTACCTTTTGAATTGTTAAGAAGTAATATACACCTGTGGAAAGCACCATAAATAAGCATTATTTATAGTTTGAATTTGGTTATTTTTTAAGATAGTTTTGAATTTCTTGTTCCAGCACCGTCAGAGCCACAGGGGACAAAGTAATAGCCTTCGTCTTTGACTAGTCTGTCTGTCATGCCACAGGGGACATAGTAATAGCCTTCCTCTTTGGCCTATCCGTCTGTCATGCCATTGTAAGATGAACATGGTTGATTTTTGTCGAGCCTTCGACTTTTGTCGAAAAAGCGAGACATAGCGATCCTACATTCCGTCGGCGTCGTCGTCGGCGGCGTCCACAAATATTCACTCTGTGGTTAAAGTTTTTGAAATTTTAATAACTTTCTTAAACTAACCTGGATTTCTACCAAACTTGGACAGAAGCTTGTTTATGATCATAAGATAATATTCAAAAGTAAATTTTGTAAAAAAAAAATTCCATTTTTTCCGTATTTTACTTATAAATGGACTTAGTTTTTCTGCCAGGAAACATTACATTAACTCTGTGGTTAAAGTTTTTGAAATTTTAATAACTTTCTTAAACTATCCTGGATTTCTACCAAACTTGGACAGAAGCTTGTTTATGATCATAAGATAGTATCCAGAAGTAAATTTTGTAAAAAAAAAATTCCATTTTTTCCGTATTTTACTTATAAATGGACTTAGTTTTTCTGCCAGGAAACATTACATTCACTCTGTGGTTAAAGTTTTTGAAATTTTAATAACTTTCTTAAACTATCCTGGATTTCTACCAAACTTGGATAGAAGCTTGTTTATGATCATAAGACAGTATCCAGAAGTAAATTTTGTAAAAAAAAAATTCCATTTTTTCCGTATTTTACTTATAAATGGACTTAGTTTTTCTGCCAGTTAGCATTACATTCGCTCTGTGGTTTAAGTTTTTAAAATTTTAACAACTTTCTTAAACTATCCTGGGTTTGTACCAAACTTGGACAGAAGCTTGTTTATGATTTAAAGCTAGTATCTAGAAGGAAATTTTGTTAAAATTTTGTTCCATTTTTTCCGTATTTTACTTATAAATAGACTTAGTTTTTCTTCCAGTTAACATTACATACAGTCTGCAGTTTAAGTTTTTAAAACATTTATTAGATTCATAAACTATACTGGATTTTTACCAAACTTGGACAGAAGCTACTTACAATCAAAAGATAGTATATAGAGGAATATTTTTATTAATTTTTTTCCTCATTTTTGTTGAGCCTGCGATTAACAGCAAAAGTAGGCGAGACACTGGGTTCCGCGGAACCTTTACGAATTTTTTCAAAGTTAAGTTTTCATGATTAGGCTCATTTCTCAGATATCATAAGTAAAAGATCAACTAAATTGTGTGTATAGAATGATTGAAAGGTGAATATGTCTGTGTGTCAGGATTCATCTAATCTTGACCTCATCTTCATTGTTCATTGGTCAAAGTTAAATTTTCATGACTAGGTGCGTTTCTCAGATGAGCATGATGAGTGATAGGTTTATTATATTGGGGACATTAAGCAAGTAACAATCAGTCAATTCATTATTTTAGGGTGTATAGAATGATTATAAGTTAGACAAGTCTGTCTGACATAGTTCTCCTGACCTTGATCTTAAAAACTTTCAACTTGAATTTCAATCATTATAGATATAGCAGGCAAGACATATCAGCGTTGTTGTCAATTGTTACACCATGATACCTTGTGAACGTCTCTGCAAGACCGTTTGCAAGAATGTTTTCATATTTAGTAGGATTGTTTGTCATCATTTGTAGTTGACAATACTATATTTATTATTTTGATTAGATAATTCTTGTGTGAGTTATATGACTTTGATAATGTCTTATCCAACCATGCTGGGTCTTATCCAACCATACTGGGTCATATCCAGCCATACTGGGTCTTACTCTTGTCCAAACTTACTGGCTCAAACTCTTATCCAACCATACTGGGTCTTACTCTTGTCCAACCATACTGGGTCTTACTCTTATCCAACCATACTGGGTCTAACTCTTATCCACCCATACTGGGTCTTACTCTTGTCCAACCATACTGGGTCTTACTCTTGTCCAACCATACTGGGTCTTACTCTTATCCAACCATACTGGGTCTAACTCTTATCCAACCATACTGGTTCTAACTCTTATCCAACCATGCTGGGTCTTATCCAACCATACTGGGTCATTCCAGCCATACTGGGTCTTACTCTTATCCAGCCATACTGATCTTACTCTTATCCAACCATACTGGGTCTTACTCTTATCCAACCAAACTGGTCTTACTCTTATCCAACCATACTGGGTCTTACTCTTATCCAACCATACTGGGTCTTACTCTTATCCAACCATACTGGGTCTTACTCTTATCCAACCATACTGGGTCTATGTGATCACGTTGGATCTGAAGATATTGGAGAATTCTGGATTAAAGACAAATAGTACCCAATTATGTTTATTTTGCTGTAAACTGAAATACTGCCAAATTACATACACTTCATCGTGAATTGAAATTCTGCCCAAATACTTATACTTGGCCTTAAACTGACCTACTGCTTAATTACTTTAATATACTTCACCTTAAACTGAAATACTGCCCAATTATATTTACTTCAACTTAAATTGAATAATTGCCTAATAACATACACTTGGCCTGAAATAGAAATACTGCCTAATTACCATTATTTGGCCTTAAACAGAAATACTAACTAATTTCATATACTTGGCCTAATACTGCCTAATTACATAAATTTGGCCTTAATCAGAAATACTGCCTAATTTCATATGCTTGTCCTTAAAAAAGAAATACTGCCTAGTTACACATACTTGGCCTTAATCAGAAATACTGCCTAATTTCATATACTTGGCCTCAAACAGAAATACTGACTAATTTCATATACTTGGCCTAAAACAGACATACTGCCTAATTACATATACTTGGCCTTAATCAGAAATACTGCCTAATTTCATATACTTGGCCCTAAATAGAAATACTGCCTGATTACATATATACTTCACCTGAAACTTAAATACTGCCTAATTCTATATACTTGGCCTTAGACAGAAATACTGCCAAAATTACTTATACCTGACCCTAAACAGAAAAACTGCCAAAGTGAGACATAGCGATCCTAGATTCAATCGACGGCGTCAACATTTAGGTTCAGTCTGAGATTAAAGTTTTTCAGTCATCAATAGCTTTGTCAAACCTCTATGGAATTTTATGAAATTTGGACAAAAGCTTTTTTATGACCAAAAGACAGTATCACTGGTACAATTTTGAAAATATTTATTTTCATTTTCTCGTATTTTACTGATAAATGAACTTAGTTTTTTTTACAATTAGAATAGATACAGTCTGAGCTTAAAGTTTTTCAGTCATCAATAACTTTGACAAACCTTCATGCAATTTTTGAAAATTTGGACAGAAGATTAGTTATTACCAAAATACAGTATTCAGGGCAAAATTATGAAAATATTTATTTTCATTTTTCCATATTTAATTGATAATGGACTCACTATTTAAGTCAACATTACACTTTTACACTGACAGCAGCAATCGCAAGCGAGACACAGAGTTCCACGAAACCCCTTACACATTTTTAGTAAATAACCTTGACAATTTCACTGGAAGTGGTAAACAAAACGTTAGTCCTGTTGATGATCATGTAGTTGGCCATACATGTATAATGCAATAAATGGACTACTTTGATATAAGCATTATGTCTATGTAAACCATTGTTAGTGTTTCCTGGGCTCAAGGAAGGATGTTTTGTCATCCCTTTACATTAAATCACATGTACTTGTATCACATAACATTATAAGGAAACGTAACAATTCATATGTGATGTGGATAAAAGGTTAACCAGTTTTTTTTTACGTAACGGGGAAGCAACAATGAAATTCACATGCTACTGACTTAATAACAGCATTTTATGTCACATAAAGGTTTCTAACAATTTAATTAGGAACAAAATGTCATTTCAGTTCAAATTGTGAGAATTTTACATAAAATAGAATACATGTGATTAAACAGTTTGAACATATAACACAGTGATGAATATATGTTCAAATATACCTACATGTAGTGTGTATTTAATGTAGTAAAGGATTGTTTGCGATTAGAGGAAATTATTATATATGGGACAAATGTGTTAATTATAATATTGATTGTGTATGGTGGTATGAGGAAATAAAGCATGTATTATCAGAATACTTAAGTTTGGAAATAATTACTCAGAATAATTCATAATTGAAAGTGTAAACAGGGTTGATGGATTAATGGTGAATTTAAATAATCTGAACCCAAATGTTCATAAAAGTTTGTCTATTCAGTTCCACAGCTTTAGATGGTAAGTTTAGACAATGGCTCTAATACAGATATACAGGGTAGACATGGTAGATATTAAAGCAGTCAGTCATAAAGAAATCGTCTTCAAGATAAGCCTTTTATATCTTTTTATACAGAAAAGGTTTTGGTCATTGTTGAAGGCCATACTGTGACCTTAAAACAAGGAATAATTTGAATCTGGAATAATTTTGAATTCTGTATGATGAAAACTAATCATGTTTGTTAAATTCTCAATAGAGCTTATGTTATGTCATTGTTTGTATATTATGCCTACTCTACTTAAAGCTTATTTATTATTTATTACCAAACTAAACAGGGGCATGGCTAAGGTTCACGTTACATTCACTGGTATTTCAGTATGAACTAACAAACCCCCTTAGCCATGTCTAACCCTCCAGATTCAAATGGTTCCTTGTTTATTGTTGTTTATACCCCTTAGCCATGGCTAACCCTCCAGATTCAAATGGTTCCTTGTTTATAGTTGTTTACACCCCTTAGCCATGGCTAACCCTCCAGATTCAAATGGTTCCTTGTTTATAGTTGTTTACACCCCTTAGCCATGTCTTACCCTCCAGATTCAAATGGTTCCATGTTTATAGTTGTTTACACCCCTTAGCCATGGCTAACCCTCCAGATTCAAATGGTTCCTTGTTTATAGTTGTTTACACCCCTTAGCCATGGCTAACCCTCCAGATTCAAATGGTTCCATGTTTATAGTTGTTTACACCCCTTAGCCATGGCTAACCCTCCAGATTCAAATGGTTCCTTGTTTATAGTTGTTTATATCCTTGATCTTGGGCTTCAGTTGCAAATCCAGGATTTTAAAAAGGGGTAGGGTTTGGGGGCACCCAGGAAATATTAGGAGTTGTTAATCATATACATATTATTTTTATAACAACAAACAAACAAAAATGAAAATTGAAATTTGACCTTTCTAGGCTTATTCCACAAATTGAACTTAACATCATGGGGGTCATTGGAGAATTATATTTCCATGGTTCACAAAAATGACCGAAAGACAATGAAATTGTTTAAGGTTAATTTTGGTATCATATTCTCAAATTTTGCTGGTTTTTGTATCTATGGTCTGATTTAAATTTTACAGTCTTGAAAGCTATTGTGTAAATGGCTGTGCAGAAAAATTAAATTTTATTGTAGAATTATATGTGTTAATTTTCAGATGGCAGTTCTCCAGATGAGACCAGTCCTGATTCTCCGCCATCACAACAGTGGAGACAACATACATCTCCTGAAACTACCACTATATCATACTCATCCTCTAGTAAGCATAAATCATTAATATACAACGTGAAAAGATTGGGAGCAGTTATTGATCCTTGATAATCCTCACTATACTATCAGTAAGGCTACACACACTTCCAGATTTCTCATCTGTGTGAATTAACAGTTATTGATCCTTGATAATCCTCGGCTACACACACTTCCAGATTTCTCATCTGTGTGGATTAATCATCCATATGGCTTCATCTGTTTATGGCAGATTTATCATATCAAACCATAGTCTCAGAAGTGTTCAACTTAAGCAAATTTCAATCAATGATATAAAAACTGTTATTCAGAGAATTTTCACAATATGTTTTATTTTTTGTATTGAAAATTAGGTAATATGAATTCTGAAATTTTGTGTGTATTTATCATTACTTGGTCAAAGGATCAAGTAAGCTTTTCTCATCACTTGGTGTTCGTTGTTGGTTAGCTGTAACAAAAATCTTTTCCTCAGAAAGTACTGGGCAAAATTAAACCTTACTTGGCCACAATCATTATTGGGGTATCTAGTTTAAAAGTTTTGGCCTGCCTTCCAAATTGGCCGACATTGCTAAAAATTGAACTTAGGGTTAAAATGCAAGTTTTGTCTATTTTCTTGAAAACTGCTATGAATAGAGAAAATCTGACTGGTACAGAAATGGTCAGAATGAAATGATCTACCTTTTGTACATTTAAATCAATACTGTTTATTGCCCTAAAATGATAAAACTTTACCAATTTTGTTTATTTTTGCCAATTATCTTGAAAACTATAATAGATAGAAGAGAAACTTAAAATAGCTATTTTAATAATAATATATAGTTATGCCCCTTTATAAATGTAAAAATTGCTGAATTTTTCTTTTCTGTTCTATAACTTTAATTTGCCTCAACCAAATGTTATAAAACTTATACACAATGCTTTTTACCATGAAACACAGATCCAGATCAAATTTGGGTGACATCACTTTTACAGTTATGTAGTTTTGTCCCTTTATAACTTTATATGCAAGCAGGCATCATCAGTGTCCCATTCACATTCTCCATTTATTGTAAACACATTCAAGAACAATTTATGGAATGCAACAGTTTAAAATTGAAATAATTTTAATGACTTGAAATGGTAAATTTCTCAGGAATTGCCAATGCTCCTTTCGATTTTGAAGAAAAAAAAATAAATTGAAAGTTTCATGCTAATTCTAAATTACGAGTGATTCCAGATCCATTTACTTGATTTGTTCTGTTTATCAAATGATAGGAAATCACCAGATTTGTAATTTTATTACCGTTTAAAGTGTTTTAATATAACAGATAATAGTTGCACCCGTTTAATTTAGCATGAAATCATTTTGCAATTTACGATTAAGTGTCTAATCTGACGAAGACAATTTCATGCATGTGTATTACATGGTGAATAAAGCACATGTTTGACTCGTGGAAAATTAGTTTTTTCTACGTAATTTAATACAAAATTTAATTTTTACATCAGAATTGACGATTTTCTTTGCTTAAAAGTAATTAGATAATGAAGAAAGTCGTCATGGAATTGAATTTCCTTATAATATTAGTTCTGAGCTTATGATCACTGTCAGGTGTGAATTAAAAACACAGGTACAAGGTGATTAGTGCTCATTAGCCTGGTGCAGGACATGTGCGCTTTTTTACTTGTAACGCAAAAGGACATTTGCGCTTTAAATATTTTGATACACCTGAATCAAATTGACCGGACATATGCACTTTTTATACGACCGCAAAAATTTGCGGTCGTATATTGGTATGACGTTGGTTTTCACACTCTAACTTTAGTTTAAGTGAATACATCTCTATGAAATTTTACCATAAGGTTCAATACCACAAAAGGAAGGTTGGGATTGATTTTGGGGGTTATGGTACCAACAGTTAAGGAATTAGGGGCCAAAAACTAGCCAAAAATAAGCATTTTTGTAACTTCCAGACATAACTGGTGTGCTAGTGTATGGATCTCTCTGACATTGTACCACAAGGTTCCATATCACAAAGGGAATGCTGGGATTGATTTTGGGGGTAATTGCCTCAAAATTTTAGGAAAAAGGGGCCAAACAAGGGGCAAAAAACAAGCATTTTTCTAGTTTCATGACAATAACTTGTGTGTAAGTCTATGGATCTTTATGAAATTGTACTACAAGGTTCCATATCACAAAGGGAAAGCTGGGTTTGAGTTTGGGGGTAATTGCCCTAAACGTTTAGGGATAAGGGGCCAAAAATAAGCATTTTTCTAGTTTCCAGACAATAACTTGTGTTCAAGTGTATGGATCTCTCTGAAATTGTACTGCAAGGTACCATACCACAGAGGGAAGGCTGGGATTGATTTTGGGGGGTAATTGCCTCAAAATTTTAGGAATTAGGGGCAAAAAAAGGGACAAAAAACAAGCATTTTTCTAGTTTCAGGACTATAACTTGTGTGTAAGTGTATGGATCTTTATGAAATTGTACTACAAGGTTCCATATCACAACAGGGAAAGCTGGGTTTGAGTTTGGGGGTAATTGCCCTAAACATTTAGGAATTTGGGGCCAAAAAGGGGCCAAAAAACAAGCATTTTTCTAGTTTCCAGACAATAACTTGTGTTCAAGTGTATGGATCTCTCTGAAATTGTACTGCAAGGTACCATACCACAAAGGGAAGGCTGAGATTGAGTTTGGGGGTGATGAATCATAAGGGGGTTCAAAAAATTGGGGGGGGGGGGGGGGGGTTTCCCTTTTTTTCCTTTTTTTTTCTTTAAAATTTTCCATTTTAAATTGGTTATTTCTGATTTATATATAAAAGCAAATAATAATGATATGGTTTGAAAAGGTAAATTCAAATCCTATTCAAACCATATGAAGTTCTTAGACCACATTCATTCTGTGTCAGAAACCTATGCTGTGTCAAATATTTAATCACAATCCAAATTCAGAGCTGTATCAAGCTTGAATGTTGTGTCCATACTTGCCCCAACTGTTCAGGGTTCGACCTCTGCGGTCGTATCAAGCTGCGCCCAGCTGAGCATTTTATTACATTATCAAAGTTTACCTATAATCTGAACCAAATTAACAAAGTCTCGGGATGATATTGACACATTATTTTAAAGTTAGCCCGTACAGACCACAAAATCACAAAAATTTGGATCAGGTCAAACATAGATAAAATAAAATATTTATGGTGGCGCCACACATTCAAAATTTTTGCACTTATTTTTTAAGCAGCTTTTTACCATTAGTGGATTAAAAAAGGAAAATATATTCCTTTTATATTTATTGTATTGTCTGGAAAGTTCAAGCAACTCTTCCATCATAGTTTATTTAAGATTGTTGCAATTTGTGGGGACCGAAATTAAAATTTGAAACCACAAACGGTTCGTGTTGAATTTTCATAAAGAGTAATAGCTGTTATAAGGAATTTACTTCTGTTTGCCCCCTTGAAGTGTTGTTGTATTCATCAGACAAATGCATGTTGGTGAAATCTTTAGAAATTAAATTACGAAGGTTATATGTAGATTCTTTTTATTTCACATTAAACTTTTAACCATGATAACTCAAATTTTATGTTTATAAAGCTCAAATGTGCTGTAGAAAAAAGCGCAAATGTCCTTTTTAAAAAAGAACAAATGTCAATTAAAAAAAGTGCAAATGTCCTATCAAAAAGTGCAAACGTCCGGCGCTGCATAAGCCAATATTTCCTGTGGGCTTTATTATGGCTATTGGGAGGGCCCTCAGGATTATCACACTATACTAGAGTGGTAGTTTACAAAGATTACAAAACAAAAACAAGTGCAAAATAGCGATTAAGAAATCCGATATCAATGAAATGACCGAAATTGTTTCTGTAAAATAAAAGATTTGGCCCAAATCCCAATCTACAATTTTGGTCAATGACCTTTCAGTTTAGGTTATGACTGGCAAATATGACGGTTTCCGGAGCCTTAGTTGGAACCACTAATTTATAAAATTATGTAACTAATCAAAACTACAATATAATTACATATAAAAAGATTTTTTCTTATGTGTATATTATTATCATTATAGAAATTGAATTTGTGTATGTTTCAGGCATTATGCCACCACCTTCAAGCAGTGGTATGACACTAACCAGTACTCCAATCAAAGATTCACAGTCTACAGTAATACTCAGGAAGAAGTCTGACTGTAAGTAAACTAACTGGTTATCCCAACAGATATTAAGCCTCTTCTATCTAGTAGTGCACAGCAATCCAAGATTACCTGTAAAAGTACAACTCAAAAACCAAAAGATTGAATGTTTTTCAATCCGACAAGTACCTCTCATTGTAACACAAGTCTTTAATTAGAGCTTTTTCTGACCTTTTCTCCTTATTTCCTATATTGGGCTATACAAGAAAACTGTTTCCCAAGTAATTCTTTAAGAAATATACAGTAATAAGTAAATGAAATGTTTTTTGAAGCAGTAACAAATTATTTACTGAAAGGGAACAATTTTATGTCCCTCTCTGTAACCCGCTGTAAACTTAAGTATTACTTTATTTGAAACAAAGATAAATTCTGCACAATTTTTTGAAAAGTGCCAATTTAACAAAGACTAATAGGGGAAAATCAATGGTGGTATTACTCCTTGTAACACACATCTTCCAAGGATGTTTTGTGACATTGTTGATTGGAGACACTGGAAAAGATTTGGATTATGCATAGCCATATCATAGCAAAACATTTTTTACTTTCCCTCAAACTAGAATGAAATATCTTTACTTTAAAAATGTACAGTCAAACCTGCCTTAATGGTCACCTCTTTTCAGCAGTCAACTGCCTCTAACGGTCACTTTCAGACTCACCCAAAAGTTTTCTCTATTTAATTTAACTCGTTTCAGCGGTCACCTAATTTTCGCACGAAATAGTCATTTCAACTTTTAACAACGGTCATTTTAATATTTTTACCTAACTAAAAAATCATGACAAAAAATATATGCGCTCAGTATCGAAGTCAAAATGAAAATTGGAACCCATTTGCAACTGAGATCAGGCAATGGGAGATGAATTTGTGAATTCCTTGTGTTACACACCTTTCCATTTTCATTAAAAATCTTATCAACGACTTATTTCTCCACGAATATTAACATATTTGGAATGATTTCTTCAAATTTACAGCGCCGGATTCAGACATTTTTTATTTGACTGCTGCAAGAAAGATAACTCTACCGATTGAAAACACTAAAACACTTTGGCCCGATCTCGGAATAACTGGAACCTCATTTCAAAGGTCACCTCTCTTGAGTGGTCACTTTTGATACTTCCAAACAGTGACTGCTTAATACAGGTTTGACTGTATAGAAAAAACTCTTTTGTATTTTATTCAATGATTTTTTTATTACGCCCCTGCCGTAGCGGAGGGGGCATTAAGATTTACCCTTGTCAATCTGTACGTCCGTCCGTCCCTACGTCCTGAAATTGGTTTCCGTTCTCTAACTTTAGTTTGCCTCAACCAAATGTTATGACACTTATACACAATGCTTATTACCACAAAACACAGATCAAATTTGAATTTTGGTGGCGTCACTTTTACCGTTCTAGAGTTATGCCCCTTTACAAATTGAAAGTTTCTGCTCTCTAACTAAAGTTTGCCTCAACCAAATGTTATGAAACTTATACACAATGCTTATTACCACAAAACTCAGATCAAGATGGATTTGGGTAGCATCATTTTTACCGTTCTTGAGTTATATCCCTTTATAACATTGTATGCAAGCGGGGGCATTTTGTATATGATTTGAGTTTTTATTTCAGCATCTCCAGACGATGAGGCGATCAAACTCCAAAGAAGGACATCCTACCTCATGGCTACTGCCAAAGACAGAGATACCAATAAATTATCACTGGACAAATCATTAACTCACAGTCACTCAGACACTGATGTGCAGTAAGTACACCCTACCTCATGGCTACTGCCAAAGACAGAGATACCAATAAATTATCACTGGACAAATCATTAACTCACAGTCACTCAGACACTGTTGTGCAGTAAGTACACCCTACCTCATGGCTACTGCCAAAGACAGAGATACCAATAAACTATCACTGGACAAATCATTAACTCACAGTCACTCCGACACTGATGTGCAGTAAGTTCATTTGCCCCAAAGTTGATCATATTGTGCAAAAACAATTTTGTAATTTTTTGTTGTCGTATTTCTTGACTTAAAGGATTCATGGATGCAGCTAGATGCTGGAGCCTGCTTGGACAGTGGCTTCATTAACACATTAAGATATCTATTACTTCAGTCATGTCACATTACTGCCAATGTACGGCCATTTTCATTACAGATTATTTGAATGCTTCCTTTTAATTTCAGGATGATTACACCTAAGAAGCCCCCCAGCATGACCAAACTGAAAGCATTCTTTGGTGAAAGGGTAAGTTTTTAAGATAATTCCTGAATTTTCTGTTTTGTCTTTAAATGATGGAAGAAATGAAAAAAAAATGTACATATTTGATTTTGTTTCCCTTAAAAAGAAACTTTAATTAAATGTAAGCAGTGTATATCAATAATAGTTGATAAGGTTCTTGATCATTACTTTAGTGTTGATTAAATTTTGAGTTAGAGATAAATAAATTGCTACTTTAGAGTAGATTAAGCAGAGATTAACATGAGTGTAGCGTAGATTCAAGCTTGATTTTGAGATCAATAGCATGATTGTTACGATAGAGTAGATTCAATTTTGACTTCAAGATGAATTATATGGTTGTTTCTGTAGATTCAGTCCTGATTTTTTGAACAGTCAGAACCTTTATAAGAGCAATATATAATTGTGTCATATTCTCTTAACCCATTTCTCTGACGTCAGTCTATTGTTCTTACAGTAGATTATTTTTCAAGAATCCACTGACCACTTCGTTAACTTAAGATAACTTATTTTATAACTTTAAACTTACGATTTTTTATCCTTTCAAAAACGAGAGGCATATGAAGGGTTCGAACTCGCGCGTATTTTCTTCATTATCAATAGAGTCTTCAGTCTATGCATGATACCACTATACCACGAGTGCTGACATAAATCAATATTTGAATAACACTCGTAAAGCACACAACTGTCAATACATGTCAATAAACTGTATTTCTATCTCAGAGATAATTCGCTTTTGTTATCTAATAAAATATATACTATGTCTGGATTTGTTCATGTTCTTTTCAAATTTATGTAAATTGTTTTATGCGTTATTTTTTAAGGAAGATTATGTTCTACATTTGAACGTTCTTGAGTATAGTTATATAGCAGTATGGAAATATCTTAAAAAAGAGTTTATTCACGATGTCAGGTTTGAACATTGGTCGATTTTCAACATCGTTATAATGAACCGATGGGTCTTTATACGATTGTGGCTATTACACACTAGTTCTAAACACTAGAGAATCGAGGAATTGTATATATTAGTACAGTTCCTTGATAAAATAAACAACCATATGCCCATTACACATGTCACTTTTAACGTACAAGGACTTTTCCTTTTCATCATAGCAAATGCTTACTTAAGGTTTTAGTCTTATAATGATATCGAACTATCAATATTTTCTTCTTTGTTTGATTATAAATGGTCCAAATATACATCACGTCAACATTGAACGTACTCTAATTTGAATAAAGTGTGATATATAAGCTACGACCGTAAAACTACTTCCTTGACTGTAAAACCAGAAACAAAATCATCGCCTTAAAATGAATATGAAGTATATAATACCTCTAAGATTAAAACAATATTTTTGTTGAGAAAAAAATTGTAATGAAAAATTTCAATTCGGGTACAAGGTTTGAACTTGGCACTGCTAATATCACAGTTGTATCTTTTGATACCAACGACTAGACGATCACGGCTATGAACAGCTTGAATGTAATAGTAAAAAATTGACATAATAATACATTGTACACCTGTAGCACGAGCAATTCTGCTGGAGATTTAGAATGCGTACCACAGAAAATACTAGTTTATTGACTGGTTTACGATGGATGCCAAATGTAATAACGTTAAAATAATCTAAACTTAATGAAAGGGAAACAGACAGTTTAAACAAAATACATGTATAATTTTCAAAAAAGACCTTCAGCAATTATTTTATTTATTTCGGAAAGCATCATTTACTGGAGCATCATAAAATTGTAGTATAATGGCAACTACGGTAAATACATGTATTTGACTTAATACGGTTAAATTGCAGGCAATCCTTAATCAGCTGTAAAGAATCATAGATTGCTAAATACTATATATGTAAATTTGAAAGGTTTCTAAATTTTGGTAATTAGATTTTTTTAACTATTCAAAAAAAGATTAAAAAATTCTGTATATTTACATATGTCTTTTTGAATAAATCATAAATACCAAAATCTATATAATTTAAATACTTTGTAATGATAAAACATTAAATGAAATATAAATATATAAGTATTAAATCTGGTAATAAAAAGGGGAGCTAACAACCCATTTAAGTTATATCAAACTTATGTTAACTTGAATATAGACGTGAACCGTGTGGATATAATCATTTCCAGCTATTATAAAATAAAAAAGACAAAATACGAAATCATTTTTATGAAATTCCGTTGATTCATTGTCAAAACATAAAACAGACAGTCTTTTTACTAGAAATGGGTTAAGCTAGAGAATTGATAAGAAGTAGTGGATTCGTAAACGATAATCAACTTGCGACTAAAGTCGCTCGTTGATTATGGTTTACGAATCCACTACTTCTTATCAATTCTCTACTAGATAACTGTCAGTAAAAATATGGGTAACATATTCTATTACAGACTCCAAGGATATTAGAGGCAACAGAACGAAGACAAGATCCAGCAAGTCCAATTCAAGAAATATCCAAAATGGGATATCTACAATGTAAAACAGATATAGCTGATGGAAAGGTAAAAATAGCAATATCTTGTCAACACACACTAGAAGAAACATGATTAACACTGTTCCGTAGAAACACCAACTGTTTTGTCTAGATTAAACACAAAAGTGTAATACTATTATCTTATTTGGATAAAAATTCAATATTAGAATCACATTATTAGATGTTTTGGAATAAAAATTCACTAGTAGAAACAGATGTATTTTGTTAGGTTTTATGAAGAAGAAAAAAAAACTTTACACTCAGGTTCAATTACACAAGACATTACAATAGTTAAATGTCAATATAACTGCAACCTAACAAAATACTGTAAATTCAGAAATTATTGCGAAAAATACGACAGTGTTATAATCGCAATAATTTAAACTCGCATTTTGAAATTTTTTATATGAATTAAGCAGGATTTTTCTCAATATCGCAAAAATTAAAATTGCATTTTAGTCTAAAATGACAAAATCGCAATAATAAATGCACGCAATAATTTCTGAATTTACAGTATTTACACCTGAAAAAAAGATAAGATGTCTGCTTCTATCTGTATGAGATTGTTTAGTAGTATAATTTCTAAGTAAGATAAGATGTCTGCTTCTATCTGTATGAGATTGTTTAGTAGTATAATTACTAAGTAAGATAAGATGTCTGCTTCTATCTGTATGAGATTGTTTAGTAGTATAAATATAATATCTAAGTGATATAAAAAGTCTATTTTGTATTACAGAGAAATAGTGATAGGTCCTGGAGACCTGTTTGGTTGTATACGGTCTGGTTACCAAGTCTATTTTGTATTACAGAGAAATAGTGATAGGTCCTGGAGACCTGTTTGGTTGTATACGGTCTGGTTACCAAGTCTATTTTGTATTACAGAGAAATAGTGATAGGTCCTGGAGACCTGTTTGGTTATATACTGTCTGGTTACTAAGTGTATTTTGTAATACAGAGAAATAGTGATAGGTCCTGGAGACCTGTTTGGTTATATACTGTCTGGTTACCAAGTCTATTTTGTATTACAGAGAAATAGTGATAGGTCCTGGAGACCTGTTTGGTTATATACTGTCTGGTTACCAAGTCTATTTTGTATTACAGAGAAATAGTGATAGGTCCTGGAGACCTGTTTTGGTATACACTGTCTGGTTACTAAGTCTATTTTGTATTACAGAGAAATAGTGATAGGTCCTGGAGACCTGTCTTGGTTATACACTGTCTGGTTACTAAGTCTATTTTGTATTACAGAGAAATAGTGATAGGTCCTGGAGACCTGTTTGGTTATATACCGTCTGGTTACTAAGTGTATTTTGTATTACAGAGAAATAGTGATAGGTCCTGGAGACCTGTTTGGTTATATACCGTCTGGTTACTAAGTGTATTTTGTATTACAGAGAAATAGTGATAGGTCCTGGAGACCTGTTTGGTTATATACCGTCTGGTTACTAAGTGTATTTTGTATTACAGAGAAATAGTGATAGGTCCTGGAGACCTGTTTTGGTATATACTGTCTGGTTACTAAGTCTATTTTGTATTACAGAGAAATAGTGATAGGTCCTGGAGACCTGTTTGGTTATATACCGTCTGGTTACCAAGTCTATTTTGTATTACAGAGAAATAGTGATAGGTCCTGGAGACCTGTTTGGTTATATACTGTCTGGTTACCAAGTCTATTTTGTATTACAGAGAAATAGTGATAGGTCCTGGAGACCTGTCTTGGTTATATACCGTCTGGTTACTAAGTGTATTTTGTATTACAGAGAAATAGTGATAGGTCCTGGAGACCTGTCTTGGTTATATACTGTCTGGTTACTAAGTGTATTTTGTATTACAGAGAAATAGTGATAGGTCCTGGAGACCTGTTTTGGTATATACTGTCTGGTTACTAAGTCTATTTTGTATTACAGAGAAATAGTGATAGGTCCTGGAGACCTGTTTTGGTATATACTGTCTGGTTACTAAGTCTATTTTGTATTACAGAGAAATAGTGATAGGTCCTGGAGACCTGTCTTGGTTATATACTGTCTGGTTACTAAGTGTATTTTGTATTACAGAGAAATAGTGATAGGTCCTGGAGACCTGTTTTGGTATATACTGTCTGGTTACTAAGTCTATTTTGTATTACAGAGAAATAGTGATAGGTCCTGGAGACCTGTTTTGGTATATACTGTCTGGTTACTAAGTCTATTTTGTATTACAGAGAAATAGTGATAGGTCCTGAAGACCTGTTTGGTTATATACTGTCTGGTTACCAAGTCTATTTTGTATTACAGAGAAATAGTGATAGGTCCTGGAGACCTGTCTTGGTTATATACCGTCTGGTTACTAAGTGTATTTTGTATTACAGAGAAATAGTGATAGGTCCTGGAGACCTGTTTGGTTATATACCGTCTGGTTACCAAGTCTATTTTGTATTACAGAGAAATAGTGATAGGTCCTGGAGACCTGTTTGGTTATATACTGTCTGGTTACTAAGTCTATTTTGTATTACAGAGAAATAGTGATAGGTCCTGGAGACCTGTTTGGTTATATACCGTCTGGTTACCAAGTCTATTTTGTATTACAGAGAAATAGTGATAGGTCCTGGAGACCTGTTTGGTTATATACTGTCTGGTTACCAAGTCTATTTTGTATTACAGAGAAATAGTGATAGGTCCTGAAGACCTGTTTGGTTATATACTGTCTGGTTACCAAGTCTATTTTGTATTACAGAGAAATAGTGATAGGTCCTGGAGACCTGTCTTGGTTATATACCGTCTGGTTACTAAGTGTATTTTGTATTACAGAGAAATAGTGATAGGTCCTGGAGACCTGTTTGGTTATATACCGTCTGGTTACTAAGTGTATTTTGTATTACAGAGAAATAGTGATAGGTCCTGGAGACCTGTTTGGGTAGAGCTACGTGGTCATGCACTTTTTCTCAACAAAGAAAAGAAAGAAGGGGTAAGATGAATTGTCAGGTGTTTTTTAGGTGGATAACAGGTGTTAAAGAGTAGATATTATATACCATTTTGTTTGGTTGTCTTGCAACTCATGAAATTTGTTCTCCACTTGACCTTTATACTTTGATTTTGACAAATACCCCCTATAGATGTTATATATTTCTGCCACTATCCTAAATTTACTTTGTTTCCTAGTTATGTTATATTTTATTGTTAAAAGAGATTAATAAATGAAATTTAGTGATGTGCAGTACTTGACACAAAAAAGTAGACTTGAATAAAAATTTCACTTATGTAGACCGACTTGTCTCCCATCCATTATCATCAAATGACCCTCTCCGGCATAAAGGCACAGTAAATGGGTCAATATTAAATAAAATGAAGACATTCAAATTAACCCCTCATTACAGTTTTTATCTTGTCTGTGACAAAAAGAAGCAAAACAAATTTGCATGCTGGTGCCATCCTTTCACCTTGCCATGTGTGCAGAATGTCATTTAAATTGTAATTTAGATTTTAACATTAGGTCATTTGAATGCAGCTATAGAAATTACACACATGCTAGACGTATCTCGATTTCAACATATGTGAAAATTAGAAATGTGACATGATATTGAACCATATATTTCTGTGTCATGATATTGAACCATATATATTTGTGTGTCATGATATTGAACCATTTATTTGTGTGTCATGATATTGAACCATATATTTGTGTTTCAGTCTCATCCATTTGCCTTTGATGAACAACCAATCTCTGTGAAGTCATCAATGGTAGACATAGCCTATGACTACACAAAGAAGAGAAATGTATTCCGACTGAAGACATATAATGGTTCAGAGTATTTGTTCCAAGCTGATGATCATGACACAATGTTATCTTGGATTGAAGCCGTACAGAAAAATAACAACCCGGATCTTGATGTAAGTTTGATATATTTTGGAAACAAAGTTATTAAAGGGAGATAAATCTTAATTGATTCAGTGAAAACTAATATTGTTTAGTATACTGCTATGTTTTGATGCTTTGATAATTGCAATTGTTTAACATGAAAAATCTAATTAGACAAATATTGAAATATAATTTTTGTTAAATTTTAGGATCAAGGTTTATTTAGTGCCAACTTAATAATCAGAAAATCCAATGAAATGACAACACAAACATCAGCAGTTTCAGTCAAAAGTTCCCCACAGGTGCCTCACAAACCAAAGAGCCGACTGTCAACCAAATCTATCATAAAGATCCCACATTCCCCAAGTATGAAGAGGAAAGACAGAAAGACAGGAGGTAAGGATCGGAGAAAGTTAAACAGTCAAAATCATGAAAAAAGTCTAGTACACTGTTAAAAGCCTTTGATAGGCAACTTATAAACCATGTACTTAATCTTCATTAACGTCTATTAAAATATAAGTTTTTTTGTTCATTTTAATCATTTTTTTAATATTTTTGTTTAATCAATTAATTTAAAGTCATAAATGATGAAATGGTAGAGCTTTTATCATGAAAGAAACGTCTTGAATATATACAATAATGAAGAAAAAACATCTTTAGAGTCAACAGTTGTGTATAATACGCATCCCCTCTACCAATATGTCTTGGGTAAAAAAGTGTGTATAATACACATCCATATATTGTATTAAGATTTGTCAAATTCTCTTTCTATTTACAATAAATACTTGTTTGAAAAGTAAAATATTTTTTTACAGATGACAGTTCCAAGCAGAAAACAACACTAAAAGACAGAATTAAAAGTTTTCGAAAGACATCAAATGCAACAGGATCTGGTGGCCCTGATGATGCTGAGGGGACAGGAATGTTTGGTGTCCCCATTAAATGTTGTATTCCTTCACCTAATAATGATGTAGGTATTTACTGTTAAGGGGGGGGGAGTGTGGTGATGCTGATGAATTAAGAGGAGTGTTAATTTGCATGAGACTAAGCTTGTGGTTGTTGTATACCTTCAAATGGAAAATCAATATTTTCAAAATTTCCTGTCCATACACACAACACTCTTAAACTACAACAATGAAAGGGGCATTCTATATTTTATGTTGGATAGAAACCTGTGAGAGAATTGAAGATTGAACTGGAGCAAAACCAAACATACTAAAGTTAAAGATACTGATTACAATACATGTGTAAATGTCAGGTAATACAGTGCCTTGTATTGTAGGTGTGTAAAACTAATTTGAATGTGTGCGCTCTTAAAAAAAGACAAGTGTATTGAAACAATATAATACATAGACTTTGGAGTGCACACTTACAATGTGACAGTGTATTTATAAGCATACTATGTAAACCTTTACAGGTGTGCACACTTACAATAAGGCAGTTTGTCGACAGAGTAAAACACATACTTTAAATGTGTGCACAATTAAAACAAGGTAGTTTGTTTCATCATGCAAAAAAATTTTTTTTTATTTGCAATGAAGTACTGTTAAATAAATTCTGTTATCTCCCTCTGAAACCCAAGGGTTGACTAGGGTATAGAAATATGGTCATCCCAGGAATTCTTTTGGTCTTGCAATAAAACCTATTCTTAATTGGGATATCCGTAAAGTTGGGAAGGATGTATAAATTTGCAGTATGTGGAAAACTCGGTACCAGTACATTTTTTTAATGAAATTTTAATAAAAGTTGGCTTTGCTATGACATGTTTCCCCCTTAACTTTAACTTCTACAAATACTTATTTTATATACTTTTTTATAAGTTCAGATTCATTATTCATTATATATCATTTGAATAATAAAAGTTTCAAGTACTGTGCTTTATGAGTTTCAGATCATAGATAACCTAATGTTTTGGATGTATCTCTTAATACCTTTCAGCATACTTTGACTTGATCTTAAGTGTTTTATGGCATTTGAGAATGTATTTATATATTTATGTTTTAGTTCGTACCAATGATCGTGGACCTCTGTACAAAGATTGTAGAAGCTAGAGGTTTAGAAGTTACTGGTGTTTATCGAGTACCTGGTAACACTGCTGCAGTCAACATGATGACTGAAGAACTTAACAAGGTCAGTGTTTTTTTACGACCGCAAAAAAAATTTTGGGATCGTATAATGGTATGATGTCGTCGTCGTCGTTGTCCGAAAAACACATTGGTTTTTTCGGACAATAACTTTAGTTAAAGTGAATGGATCTCTATGAAATTTTTTAAGAAGGTTCAATACCACAAAAGGAAGGTTGGGATTGATTTTGGGGATGATGGTCCCAACCGTTTAGGAATTAAGGGCCCAAAAGGGGCCAAAACAAGCATTTTTCTAGTTTCAGGATAATAACTTGTGTATAAGTATTTTGATTGCTCCGAAATTGTACCACAATGTTTAATACCACAAGTAAAAGGTTGGGATTCATTTTAGGGGTTATGGGGCCAACAGTTTAGGAATTAAGGGCCAAAAAGGGGCCAAAAACAAGCATTTTTCTAGTTTCCAGACAATAACTTGTGTGTAAGTGTATGGATCTCTCTGACATTGTACCACAAGGTTCCATATAGCAAAGGGAAGGCTGTGATTGAGTTTGGGGTTAATTGCCCCAAACATTTAGGAATTAAGGGCCAAAAAGGGACCAAAAACAAGCATTTTTCTCGTTTCCAGACAATAACTTGTGTTTAAGTGTATGGATCTCTCTGAAATTGTACTACAATGTTCCATACTACAAAGGAAAGGCTGGGATTGAGTTTTGGGGTTATTGCTCCAAGGGGGTGTTTCAAAAAGTTGTTGGGGGGATTTTTTTTTCCAATTTTTTTAAGGGATTCATATTTTTTTTCAAAATTTTTCAAATTTGAATTTTTGAAAAGTTTCAAGAAGAAATCTTCCATTGCACAGTATTGCTCTATAGATTTGTAAGATCTTTGACCACATTTATTTTGTGTCAGAAAGCTATATTATGTCAAAAATTTGATCACAATCCAAATTCAGACAGTATCAAGCTTGAATATTGTGTCCAAATTTGCCCAAACTGTTCAGGGTTTGACCTCTGCGGTTGTATCAGGCTGCGCTCAGCGAAGCATTTTATTAATTAGTACTGACACATTCCTCACACTAACAAAGGTCAAGAGGTCATAGGTAGGTATTGAGAACCCGACAATTGTAGGATTATAGCATGAATATTGGTGAATATTGTCCTGAGTAGATTTTTATCTCGCCTGCAACGCAGAAGGGGAGACATGGGTATTGCTGTTATGGTGTCGCCAGCATCAACAATTGTAAAGTTTTCTGCTAAGTTAATTTGATAGGAACTGCTTGTGATAATCTAGGATATTTTCAATAAAGTTGAATTACTATCAGTACATATCAGTTGGGAAACTATTTCCAGACCTTCCCCCTTTGGTCATGGTCTAGTGACTGAATTAATTAGCAATTTTCAATGTTAAGTTTTCGGCTTAAGTTAGTTTGATAGGAACTACTTATGATAGACAATGATATTTTCTGTTAAGTTGCATTACTATCAGTTCATATCAGTTTGTCGACCAATTAGAATCCCTGCCCCTAGTTCATGGTCCAGCGACTTGGAATTAATTAGCAATGTTGCTGTCTATCAGATTGACTTTTTCTGAATTTTTTGCCGACAGTCAAACATATATCTGTGTCCACAGTTTATTACATTCTAGAGCTTGTGAGTACAATATATATTCTGCAAGAAATAATATTCTTGCAATAAACCTTTTATTGTATATCAAAGCTTGAAAAACTGTTTCAAACATATTTTTTTCACTGATAACTAGAATGTATAAACTATATTTCTATTAGTGGCATATGCTCCACCAAGGAGCAACATGATTAAGCAAGGTAAGCACTAGTGCAAGATAATAGAAAAATGCATGTTAACTTTTTATTACGTTTTGTGGGAATTTTTTGTCAAATCCTGCTGTACACTTTGCTTATAAGGATCTGACAACATTCCAAATTTTTGAGGGTGTGAATCATTAAAATAAAACCAGAGGTTCCTGAAAGTTTTCCAAAATTGAAAGTAGAATGAAATGTCAAATCCTTGTAACCAAAATGTCACACAGTATCTTTGTTTTAATCAGATGGCTTTTACTTATTTTCTAAATGTACTTTAAAGCCTTTTGGAAATGAAAAACTGAGATAAATAGAAAAAAATAATGTGTTTTGTAGGGTACAGACAATATGAATGTTGACCATGAGAAATGGTGTGATCTTAATGTTTTATTTTGTAGGGTATAGACAATATGAATGTTGACCATGAGAAATGGTGTGATGTAAATGTTATTAGCAGTTTGTTAAAGGCATTCTTCAGGAAGTTACCAGAATCCTTAGTAACATCAGGTATACACATGTATCTTATTATCAAATTTGATAACCTCATAAATTTGCAGAAATGGTAAAAATTGTATTTGTTTTTCTTGTCCTTGATAATTATGTAATTTGGTCTACCAGGACTCTAGTCATTGATGATTAATTAGTTCAGTCTACCAGGGCTCTAGACATTGATAATTAATTAGTTCAGTCTACCAGGGCTCTAGACATTGATAATTATGTGATTTGGTCTACCAGGACTCTAGTCATTGATAATTAATTAGTTCAGTCTACCAGGGCTCTAGACATTGATAATTATGTAATTTGGTCTACCAGGACTCTAGTCATTGATAATTAATTAGTTCAGTCTACCAGGGCTCTAGACATTGATAATTATGTGATTTGGTCTACCTGGACTCTAGTCATTGATAATTATGTGATTCGGTCTACCAGGACTCTAGTCATTAATGATTGATTAGTTCAGTCTACCAGGGCTCTAGACATTGATAATTATGTGATTTGGTCTACCAGGACTCTAGTCATTGATAATTAATTAGTTCAGTCTACCAGGGCTCTAGACATTGATAATTATGTAATTTGGTCTACCAGGACTCTAGTCATTGATAATTAATTAGTTCAGTCTACCAGGGCTCTAGACATTGATAATTATGATTTGGTCTACCAGGACTCTAGTCATTGATAATTATGTGATTCGGTCTACCAGGACTCTAGTCATTAATGATTAATTAGTTCAGTCTACCAGGGCTCTAGACATTGATAATTATGTGATTTGGTCTACCAGGGCTCGTCATTGATAATTATGTAATTTGGTCTACCAGGACTCTAGACATTGATAATTATGTGATTTGGTCTACTAGGGCTCTAGACATTGATAATTATGTGATTTGGTCTACCAGGACTCTAGTCATTGAAGATTAATAAGTTCAGTCTACAAGGGCTCTAGACATTGATAATTATGTGATTTGGTCTACCAGGACTCTAGACATTGATAATTATGTAATTTGGTCTACCAGGGCTCTAGACATTGATAATTATGTGATTTGGTCTACCAGGGCTCTAGACATTGATAATTATGTGATTTGGTCTACCAGGACTCTAGACATTGATAATTATGTGATTTGGTCTACCAGGGCTCTAGTCATTGATAATTGGTCTTCCAGGGCTCTAGTCATTGATAATTATATGATTTGGTCTACCAGGGCTCTAGTCATTGATTATTATGTGATTTGGTCTACCAGGGCTCTAGTCATTGATAATTGGTCTTCCAGGGCTCTAGATATTGATAATTATGTGTTTTGGTCTACCAGGGCTCTAGTCATTGATAATTATGTGATTTGGTCTACCAGGACTCTAGTCATTGATAATTGGTCTACCAGGGCTCTAGTCATTGATTATTATGTGATTTGGTCTACCAGGGCTCTAGTCATTGATAATTGGTCTTCCAGGGCTCTAGTCATTGATTATTATGTGATTTGGTCTACCAGGGCTCTAGACATTGATAATTATGTGATTTGGTCTACCAGGGCTCTAGTCATTGATAATTGGTCTTCCAGGGCTCTAGTCATTGATAATTATGTACTTTGGTCCACCAGGGCTCTAGTCATTGATAATTATGTGATTTGGTCTACCAGGACTCTAGTCATTGATGATTAATTAGTTCAGTCTACAAGGGCTCTAGACATTGATAATTATGTGATTTGGTCTACCAGTACTCTAGACATTGATAATTATGTAATTTGGTCTACCAGGGCTCTAGACATTGATAATTATGTGATTTTGTCTACCAGGACTCTAGACATCGATAATTATGTGATTTGGTCTACCAGGGCTCTAGTCATTGATAATTAGTCTTCCAGGGCTCTAGTCATTGATAATTATGTGATTTGGTCTACCAGGGCTCTAGTCATTGATTATTATGTGATTTGGTCTACCAGGGCTCTAGTCATTGATAATTGGTCTTCCAGGGCTCTAGTCATTGATAATTATGTGTTTTGGTCTACCAGGGCTCTAGTCATTGATAATTATGTTATTTGGTCTACCAGGACTCTATTCATTGATAATTGGTCTACCAGGGTTCTAGATATTGATAATTATGTGATTTGGTGTTCAGGGATGTAGAATTTTCAAAATTTCATTTACCTGTTCTTTATAAAATTGAAAATTGGTTGATTTTTCCTATAATGCACATTGGAAACCTTTGTCTTATTTTGACTGATGATAGGAGAATTAGTTTGTGTCATGATTCTGGCTTATATTGCTAGTTAGTGGCTTATGAAATAAATAATACATTTCATAATCATAACACAAATCATTGTGCAGAAATTATTGTTTTGAACCATTGTTTTTTTTCTCAGAATTATACCAAGATTTTATAAATGTCAACCGATTAGAAGATACAATTGTGTTTTTTTTCTCAGAATTATACCAAGATTTTATAAATGTCAACCGATTAGAAGGTACAATTGTTTTTTTCAGAATTATACCAAGATTTTATAAATGCCAGCCGATTAGAAGACCCGGAGAGGAGAATGTTGAAACTGAAGCGTCTTCTTCATGAACTTCCTGAACATCATTTTGAAACTTTTAAACATCTTGCTGAACATTTAAATAAAGTAGCAGCATGTGGTCATATTAATAAGGTTAGTACATAAACACTTAACTATTCATTTAGATATACTAACAGCATTTGGTCATACAAACAATGTTGGTTTTAAACAAACACATTGATGAACATTAAAACAAGATATATGGACAGAATAATTTCTATTTTTATCTTTCTTTCCAAAACTATGTTAAAATTGTTGTAATGTAAAAGCACAATCTTAGAAAGGCATTTACTCTTAACATATAAAAGTAAGAAGATGTGGTATGATTACCATCAGAAGATGTGGTATGATTGCCATAAGAAGATGTGGTATGATTGCCAATGTGACAACTCTCCCCAGAGACCAAATGACATAGAAGTTAACAACTATATGTCATTGTATGACCTTCAACAATGAGCAAACCCCATAATGTATAGTAAGCTATAAAAGGCCCTGAATTGACCAATGTAAAACAATTCAAAGGAGAAATTTACAATTCAAAGGAGAAATTTAACGGTCTAATTTATGTACAAAACAATAAACAAAAACTGACAAAAAGAAACATATTTTGAGAACTATCTAATTATATTTTATGTGAATAAATGGTTATCTCTTTCAGATGGATGCCAGAAATCTGGCTATTGTATTTGGACCGACACTTGTCAAAAAGAAAGATGATGACATGGCGTCCATTGTCAAAGACATGTCTGACCAATGTCGAATTATAGAGAGTATTATTTTACATGTAAGTTTAATGATAAAGCCTCATTTGTCAAAGATATATCTGACCAATGTCGCATTATAAAGAGTATTATTTTACATGTAAGTTTAATGATAAAGCCTCATTTGTCAAAGTTATATCTGACCAGTGTCGCATTATAGAGAGTATTATTTTACATGTAAGTTTAATGATAAAACCTCATTTGTCAATGATATATCTGACCAGTGTCGCATTATAGAGAGTATTATTTTACATGTAAGTTTAATGATAAAACCTCATTTGTCAAAGTTATATCTGACCAGTGTCGCATTATAGAGAGTATTATTTTACATGTAAGTTTAATGATAAAACCTCATTTGTCAAAGATATATCTGACCAATGTCGCATTATAGAGAGTATTATTTTACATGTAAGTTTAATGATAAAGCCTCATTTGTCAAGATATGTCTGACCAATGTCGCATTATAGAGAGTATTATTTTACATGTAAGTTTAATGATAAAACCTCATTTGTCAAAGTTATATCTGACCAGTGCCTAGTAATAGAGAGTATCATTTTATATGTTAATACTATATGGCATCTATTTATAAATGTAACCACCCATTTCACTTTATATTTTGTATGTTATTGGGGAAAAGTAATAAAATGGAATTTTAAAAACATGTATTTTAACTTTTGTCTGATGTTTTAACCATTTATTTCAAAATCTTTTACATCACATTTCAATCATATATTTAATTAAAATATCTCTGATGTATCAACTCTTTAACCAATCAAAATATTTTACATCATATTTAGAAGATATGCCTTAAATTCTAATTAGAGTTAATAGTATTCAAATGTTAATCTCATGACATTTAGAAGATATACTTTTTATTTGTCAATGTTTAGAAATAACCACTTTTGCTGTTTTTTCTGTATGTTTAGAAATGACCCCTGTTCTATTTCTGTATGTTTAGAAATGACCCCTGTTGTTTTTCAACATGTTTAGAAAAGACCCCATGACCCCTGTTGTATATCTGTATGTTAAGAGATGACTCCTGTTGTTTTTTTTTATTTCTGTATGTTAAGAGATGACCCCTGTTGTTGTATTATTTCTGTATGTTTAGAGATGACCCCTGTTGTTGTATTATTTCTGTATGTTTAGAGATGACCCCTGTTGTTGTATTTCAGCATGACTGGTTCTTTGGTTCCTGGGATCAGGATGATCATGTGCCTGTTGATGAACAGTCAGAAACACCAACCAATCCTTCTGTTACTCGACTCAGTTGTGATGATGATGGTAGGTTTTATAAAAGATATTTATAGAAATTTATTTGTTAAAGGGACCTTTGAGAATAGAATGTTCTACAAATTCATTGGATATTCATTTAAATTGTCACAAGAATGGTTAACAGTTATGTAATGGAGAAATTTTTAAATGGAATTATATTTAAAATTATTGGGTAGCATTTAATGAATATATCACGTAACTTTAAAGTTTTGTTCTCATCTTTTAATTTGACATAAATGAAAGTAAAGTATATTGAAGATTTCTAGTTATAAAATTATTGTGTGGCCTGACATCAAAGCTGTAGTGACAACTAGAGATTACTTCTGTCATCATTCATCATTGACATCACACTTAGTTAATACCACCATTCCTTGTATCATCATTGACATCACACTTAGTTAGTACAACCATTCCTTGTATCATCATTGACATCACACTAGTTAGTACCACAATTCCTTGCATCATCATTGACATCACACTCAGTTAATACCACCATTCCTTGTATCATCATTGACATCACACTTAGTTAATACCACCATTCCTTGTATCATCATTGACATCACACTTAGTTAATACCACCATTCCTTGTATCACCATTGACATCACACTAGTTAGTACCACAATTCCTTGTATCATCATTGACATCACACTTAGTTAATACCACAATTCCTTGACATCACACTTAGTTAGTACCACAATTCCTTGCATCATCATTGACATCACACTTAGTTAATACCGCAATTCCTTGACATCACACTAAGTAAGTACCACAATTCCTTGTATCATCATTGACATCACACTTTGTTAATACCACCATTCCTTGTATCATCATTGACATCACACTTAGATAATACCACCATTCCTTGTATCATTATTGACTTCACACTTAGTTAATACCACCATTCCTTGTATCATCATTGACATCACACTTAGTTAATACCACAATTCCTTGTATCATCATTGACTTCACACTTAGATAATACCACAATTCCTTGTATCATCATTGACATCACACTTAGTTAATACCACCATTCCTTGTATCATCATTGACATCACACTTAGATAATACCACCATTCCTTGTATCATTATTGACTTCACACTTAGATAATACCACAATTCCTTGTATCATCATTGACATCACACTTAGTTAATACCACCATTCCTTGTATCATCATTGACATCACACTTAGTTAGTACCGGCATTCCTTGTATCATCATTGACATCACACTTAGTTAATACCACAATTCCTTGTATCATCATTGACATCACACTAGTTAGTACCAGCATTCCTTGTATCATCATTGACATCACACTTCCACAATTCCATGAAAACAGCTCAACAGAATTCAACCAAACTTGCACAAATTCTATTACAGGATATTAAGGTGTTCATCAGCTATTTTGATCTGAATGATTTTGGGGGTTGTCCATACCAAACATGGACTTTGTTGAAACTGAATTTGTAATGATTTTGTCCTGGTTGTAGTAAGAAACAGTTGAATATTTGATGATGTTGTTCTGGTTGTAATAAGAAACAATTTATACAACTATAATGCTGAACATATTTTTCTCAATCTAATAAGTCTGTGTATTATTATATAGTCAACTAATGGCACTGACTTATCAGACAAACTACTGGTGTTAACTCTGATTGTTAACAGCTGTGGACAAAGTCTTTATAAATCCTTCTTCAGCGTAATAACGATAATTACTCATGTTTTTTATATATAATGATATTAGTATCCATCATGATTTTTCTATACAACCAATAAATTTTTTAAAGCCAAAAGAGTTGTTATTATAAAAAAGAAGATGTGGTATGATTGCCAATGAGACAACTCTTCACAAGAGACCAAATGACACAGAAATTAACAACTATAGGTCACCGTACGGCCTTCAACAATGAGGAAAGCCCACACCGCATAGTCAGCTATAAAAGGCCCCGAAATGACAATGTAAAACAATTCAAACGAGAAAACTAACGGCCTAATTTATGTACAAAAAATGAACGAATAACAAATATGTAACACATAAACAAACGACAACCACTGAATTACAGGTTCCTGACTTGGGACAGGCACATACATACAGAATGTGGCAGGTTAAACATGTTAGCAGGATCCCAACCCTCCCCCTAACCTGGGACAGTGGTGTAACAGTACAACATAAGAAGGAACTATTAAAATTTCAGTTGAAAGAGGCTTAACTCATCAGATGGATAAAATACAAATGCTACAAATACAAGTGGACGTGGCCCTGTACTTGTACATCCAAACAACAAAAAGACACTAAGTACAGATCTGAGAGTACTCGCAGTTACTGACAGCTAGTTCAAAGCCACTAACAACTAATAAAAAAAAATCATGCATCTAAGACTAAATTATCAATCCGTACACATCCAACATACAATGGATTTAGTGTAAAGACGTCATAAACAGTCAGAGAAAAACATGACCTTTTGCAATGCCAAGATACAGGTATCGACAGATTGTAGAGCCATGAATGTGTATATGTATGTTTTTTTTTTCAGACAATACAGTTAACCCGAAAGACATTGTGTTCTCTATTGTTCAAGCAGCTAATAAAAAGTTACGTGGAGAAAAAGACAAGAGTTCAGACGGTTTGGATACTAGTGTTTTGGATGGAGGATTTTCAGAACGTAATATTGATCAAGAAGTTTATAGGAGTAGAATGAAAGGTCAAATTGAATCCACATCTAAAAGTAGTCCAGATTTACTTGGGCTGTCAGGACGAGCTTCACATGACAAGCTGATGTCATTACCGGTACGTCAATCAGATAGCACTAATGATCGTAGAATGGCAAAGTCTCAAGAAATAATGGAATCAGATTGGGATTTTGTTGGTTCTTCACAGAGTATGTATGGGAAATCTTTACACTACTCCGATGATTCTTTGGACAAGAATGATGAGTTAGAAGTTTCTCATAGTGGATTAAGTGGCAGTTTTAGTGTTAGTCAGAGTACAATAGACAGACTGAGAATTATTGAAGAAGAGGCCAGGGCACTGAGAGAAAAAGAAGAGAAACGAAAACGGGACTTTGAACGTAGAAAACTAGAAAAACAGAAGATAGAGCAAAATATAATGAAAACTAAAAAGGAAATGGAAATTGAAGACAGGCATAGTATAGAAGACTTATTAAGTGCTGTATTATTAAAAAGTGATCCTGGTGGTCGAAGTTTAGGTCATCACCGTGGTGATTCTATGTCATCAGATCATTCAAACTCCTCATCAGAAGGGAGGCAACCTTTATGTTATAAAAAGGAGAAATCAGGGGGTGGTAAATATTTTGTTATTCAGAGTATAGTTGGAAAACATGGACGTGAAAAAATGCCACGGTCTTCGAAGAGTGGATCAAACATCGAGGTCAAAGGTCAAAGGACAAGTTCCCTTGAGAGGTTATTGGAACAATCAGAAAACGAAGTTTCAAGAAAATCAGGACGGGGTAGATATGCCTCTAATGATTCTCAGTACCTTCAAATCACAAAGGGAGATCATCCACATAGACGATCTAAATCCAACTTAAGTCGTAGTAATTCCTTGCGACGAGGCTCGTTAGATTCTTTGATTGACCTGATACAGGATGGCAAAAGGAGGTCATATGAGGATACAGATTCAGAGGATGGCTCAGATTTACTCTCTGATCTAACTTCTACTTTTGATCAAAAATTAAAAGTGCTTGTGAACCCTAAATATAAGTTAAATGGCAGTTCTTCAAAGTTAAATAGAAGTGATAGTTCAAACAGTTCAAATGAAAAGGATACAAGTACTCAGTTAAGGCTGCCACCACAACTGCCTCTTTCTCATGTAAATAAGAAACTGTGTAGTAGTAATGATATGTTAGAAAAACAATATCAAGACCCGAGTTTGCATCGATCACCACGGCAACATGAAACAAAAGTAGGAATAGCTTATCGCTTTGAACGTAATCCGTCAAACAGTATGTTAGCGCAATCAAACAATTCTAGCGAGGCCAATAATACAAATAGTGCTCCTGTTGATCCTCGGAATTCTACAGTCACGTTTACTGTACCTAGTGTTCCTCATCCACAAATGACAGTGCTCTCACCTGTTCATGATTCTAGAACAAAAAATGAAAAAACAGAAATTAATTTAACATTGTCAAATCCAGTCAGCAATAAATCTCCCACACAATTATATCAAATAAATGTGGATAAATATCCGATACATACGCAACAAAGAAGTCTTGATGAAACTTTTAAGGCCAGGTCATCTTCACCACCGGCACTGAAACGAAAATCAGAAAAGCCAAAGAAACGACGACACACTGTTGGAGGTACTGATGACCTGGAACACTTTAAAGCTTTAGTTAGTGTAACGCAGAGCAAAGGAGAAAACAAAAGATCAGCATGGGACCAGTTACAACCAGTTGTTAAATCACCAAATCTAGTTGTTCATAGAAGTTTACAACAATGGATTCAGAATGAACGACTTCGAGGAAGTACCCCTGATCTTTCACAACAACATAGCCCAAAATTCTTTTAAAAGAGCAGATTACTTATCATAGCCACATAGTCCTAAATATTGCTAACTCCTTCTTGTATGTCAAGTTATAATTTTAAGTTTTTTGCATTTTACTTATGTAATGAGAAAAATAAAGTTTGGTATTTTTAAGATATAGATATTTTGAAAGTCCTGATTTTTATATGTTATTTATGTAAGTGGAATAGGTTTAAACATCACTTCTTTTTATTAACATGATTACAATGCATAGTTTTTAACATGATTATTATAATTCTATTTAATATTATAATGATATCATTTTATGCTGTTTACCTCAAATTTCGTTATCTTTCGTTGAGCAAATTTTTGTTACTTTTAGTTGCTTATTATGAATTAGTAAGAAAATTTGTTTAAGTTGAGGTATTCAGTTGCATGAGGTCATCAATTAGCTTCATTTTAATCAAGATGTTCTTCAACCTGCTTTGCTTTTTCTGTCTTCATAATGCATGAAAGCTTAACAGATTTCATTTGCAAAGAATGTAATTAGTGGTCAGCTGGTCAGTTAGATCATGAATAATGCTGTCATTGCCACACAAAAAATGTTGTGAATTTTAAATTCTGTTTATTTTCTTTTAATTTATTCTTTTTATTTATTTTGACCATCACCATTTATAATTCAAGGTTTTTATTTATTTTGACCATCACCATTTATAATTCAAGGTTTGTTAATGTTTAGCTATAGTTTATTTACAGTTTTGTTTTTTGACCGTCATTTTTATAAAATTTCCCCAGAATAACTAAGGTATTGTTAAAATACAAGTTTATTTTCTTTGTTTTTACATGTAATGACATTTTTTTATTAGTGCAATAATATTGAAGATGCAAATGTTGACATTTTTATTATTGTATATATTGTTGAAATGGTAGGCATCATCATATAAAATATCATTTACTAAAACCAAAGCTGTCATTCTGTACATAGTCATTATTGTGTATACTTATTTAATTTGTTTGAATGACACAAAAATACTATTAATGATCAAAAAGTATCAAACCTACAAAGTTGACTAAATATCAGTGATGTCTGCTGAATGTTACTGAAAAAGACAAGTGTTGTTTGGAGGCACAGAAATCATATCTACAATATCTCTATTGTTTTTGTTCTTTTTGTATATTTACACCATTTTTTAAGCTGAAGGTTTAGTAAATAAAAATAAAACTTGGACATGTGTATTATTATTTTTCAAATTTTTTTCCTAAAAATTTGTGAATTTTGGGATGAATTCAAATCCCTTTCTGTTGACAGAATAATCACAGACATACAGAAAGATAAAAATAGAACTTTACATTTTAAACTGTTAACTGTTTTTAGATATTAACATTTTAAAGTGTTCTGAACTCTTTAATTTCTTTTAGATAGTTAACATTTTTAATTGCTAAATGTTTTAATGACATAAAGTAAACATTGTTACACACTGTAAGATAGTTATTATCATTTAAAACTGTTATCATTCTTACATATTGTTACCAGTTTTGACATGCTGGCATTTAGTCAACATTGTAAACAAGCATGATATGTTTAAAATTGTCCCAGAGTCATTTTCTTTTCATATCCCCTCAATGGACAGGGGTTGAAAATAGCAGGAGTTGTGGTGATGTGGTTCAGTTTTGGGCCCTTTATAGCTTGCTGTTCGGTGTGAGCCAAGGCTCCGTGTTGAAGGCCTTACTTTGACCAATAATGGTTTACTTTTACAAATTGTGACTTGGATGGAGAATTGTCTTATTGGCACTTATACCACATCTTCTATATCTATATAAAGTCAGCTACATATATCAAAGGTCAGACTCACTTTATAGAACCAGTTTTAAAGGGACCTGGATCAGGATCAGTGACTTCCTCTATTTTCAGCTCCTGACAGGTTGCATTATTAAGGTTTTTTTTTTTGGAAAGTTTTTTATCAGTGCAGTCACACCTTTAAAGGGATGTTTTCAATATTGATATATTTTTCTTTCTGTTTTAAGTTGGTATGAATTTTGAATATTTTAGCTAATCAATAGAAACCACTTTCTAGTATAATTAAAATTTATATTAATCGACAAATTTAGTTTAAGTTATGCAGATTATTGTTTTCACTGTTTAAAACCTTAAATAAAATGATCACTTTGTAATATTATTAAATCACAGTTTCACAATCCTGTAGATGGGAACAAAAACCTTTGAAGACAATTCTTGTAACAGTGTTTTAACAGCCTTTAATATGCAGTTATTTACTGTCAAAAATAATTGCTAGATAAAGTAAACGATTATCCTTCAGGAATTTGTGGGAATCCTGAATTAAGTATAATTTTGAGATCCAACTCGCCAAAATTTATTGTGTAATGCAAAAAAGTTTTTTTTCTGTAAATGTTTGATCCAAATTTAGCTTTTATATTTTTGATTCAATTTATTCATTCAGTTTTGTGAAAAAAAGTAATTATCTTTTATAGTGAAAGACATGTATGTTTATGTAGAGGACAAATCATTGGTACATTTGTATAAAAAATAATCTTTTTAGGTTTGATAAGTGCATTAATTGGCATTGCCAGGCCAATATATTAGTATCCACACTCGGTTTTGTCTGGTCTCCTGTATCAACACACTTACTGATAGTAAATTGTACCAGTTTATATAGATTAAAGTTACTAGCAAATTGTGTTAATGTCACTGACTCACATCTAACACAGAATTTGTGAAAAATGGTTCAATAATATTACAGGGTGTGTTTGATTATTGTTGCATTTTATTTGATTACCGAAAGTCTTCCTATTGTTTTAAATATTATTTAGTTTATCTTGTTAAATCATTAAAAACTTTGTTGTATATGAAATTTTAACATACATGTAAAAGAAAGAAGAGGAAAGTTAATAAAATACTAAACAGTATTCAAGTTATGTCTTATTTTTCAGCAGAAAAAAGACCTTATGCACCACTTTTTAGCTAACTTTGCCTAAAGGGCTAGCGGTAGCTATTGCCTTCACTTGGGTTCTATCTTCTGCTAAAGGGCCAGTGTGATCTGTTACCTTCACTTGGGTTCTGTCTTATGCCTAAAGGGCCAAAGTGAGCTTTTGCCGTCATTTGGGTTCTATCTTCTGCCTAAAAGGCCAGTGTGTGCTATTGCCTTCACTTGGGTTCTATCGTCTGCGTAAAGGGCCAGTGTGAGCTTTTGCCTTCACTTGGGTTTCATCTTATGCCTAAAGGGCCAGCGTGAGCTTTTGCCTTCACTTGGGTTCTATCGTCTGCCTGAAGGGCCAGTATGAGCTTTTACCTTCACTTGGGTTCTATCTTCTGTCTAAAGGGCCAGTATGAGCTATTGCCTTCACTTGGGTTTCATCTTATGCCTAAAGGGCGAGCGTGAGCTTTTGCCTTCACTTGGGTTCTATCGTCTGTGTAAAGGGCCAGTGTGATCTGTTACCTTCACTTGGGTTCTATCTTATGCCTAAAGGGCCAGCGTGAGCTTTTGCCTTCACTTGGGTTCTATCGTCTGCCTAAAGGGCCAGCATGAGCTTTTGCCTTCACTTGGGTTCTATCATCTGCCAAAAGGGCCAGTGTGAGCTATTGCCTTCACTTGTGTTCTATCTTTTGCCTAAAGGGCCAGTATGAGCTATTGCCGTCACTTGGGTTCTATTGTTTGCATAAAGGGCCAGTGTTAGCTATTGCCTTCACTTGGGTTCTATCTTCTGCCTTCGAAGGGCCAGTGTGAGTTATTGCTTTCACTTGGGTTCTATCGTCTGCCTAATGGGCAGTTTGATCTTTTGCCTTCACTTGGGTTCTATCTTATGCCTAAAAGGCCAGTGTGAGCTATTGCCTTCATTTGGGTTCTATCCTCTGCCTAAAGGGCCAGTTTGGTCTACTAGTATTGCTATCACTTGGGTTCGATTGTCTGCCTAAAGGTAGTTTGATCTATTTCTTTCACTTGGGTTCTATCTTCTGCCTAAAGGACCAGTATAATCTATTACCTTCACTTAGGTTCTATCTTTTGCCTAAAGGGCCAGTATGAGCTATTGCCTTCACTTGGCTTCTAGCTTTTGCCTAAAGGGTCAGCGTGAGCTATTGCCTTCACTTGGGTTCTTTCTTCTGCCCAAAAGGCCAGTGTGAGCTATTGCCTTCACTTGGGTTCTATCTTCTACCCAAAGGGCCATTGTGAGCTATTGCCTTCACTTGGGTTCTATCTTCTGCCTAAAGGGCCAGTGTGAGCTATTTCCTTCACTTGTGTTTTATCTTCTACCCAAAGGGCCATTGTGAGTTATTGCCTTCACTTGGGTCCTATCTTCTGCCTAAAGGGCCAGTGTGAGCTATTGCCTTCACTTGGGTTTTTTTCTTCTGCCTAAAGGGCCAGCATGAGCTTTTGCCTTCACTTGGGTTCTATCGTCTGCCTAAAGGGCCAGTGTGATCTATTACCTTCACTTGGGTTTTATCTTTTGCCTAAAGGGCCAGCGTGAGCTTTTGCCATCACTTGGGTTCTAGCTTTTGCCTAAAGGGCCAGCATGAGCTTTTGCCTTCACTTGGGTTCTATCTTCTGCCTTAAGGGCTAGTGTGAGCTATTGCCTTCACTTGGGTTCAATCGTCTGCCTAAATGGCCAGTGTGAGCTATTACCTTCACTTGGTCTTGGGTTCTATCGTCTGCTTAAAGGGCCAGTATGAGCTATTGCCTTCACATAGGTTCTAGCTTTTGCCTAAAGGGCCAGCGTGAGCTATTGCCTTCACTTGGGTTCTAGCTTTTGCCTAAAGGGCCAGCGTGAGCTTTTGCCTTCACTTGGGTTCGATGTCTGCCTCAAGGACCAGTTTGATCTATTACTTTCACTTGGGTTCTATCTTCTGCCGAAAGGACCAGTTTGATCTATGTCTTTCACTTGGGTTCTATCTTCTACCTAAAGGGCCAGTATGATCTATGTCTTTCACTTGGGTTCTATCGTCTGCCTAAAGGGCCAGTGTGTGCTATTGCCTTCACTTGGGTTCTATCGTCTGCCTAAAAGACCAGTGTGAGCTTTTTCCTTCACTTGAGTTATATCGTCTGCCTAAAGATCCATTGTGAGCTATTCCCTTCACTTGGGTGCTATCTTCTGCCTAAAGGGCCAGTTTGATCTAGTTCTTTCACTTGGGTTCTATCGTCTGCCTAAAGGGCAAGTTTGGTCTACTAGTATTGCCTCCACTTGGATTAGATCGTCTACCTAAAGGGCCAGTTTGGTCTATTTCTTTCACTTGGGTTCTATCTTCTGCCTAAAGGGCCAGTGTGAGCTATTGCCTTTACTTGGGTTCTATCTTCTGCTTTTAAGGGCCAGTGTGAGCTATTGCCTCCACTTGGGTTCTATCTTCTGCCTAAAGGAGCAGTGTGAGCTATTTCCTTCACTTGTGTTCTATCTTCTGCCTTAAAGGGCCAGTGTGAGCTATTTCCTTCACTTGGGTTCTATCGTCTGCCTAAAGGGCCAGTGTGAGCTATTGCTGTCACTCCCGTTCTATTGTCTGCATAAGGGGCCAGTGTCAGCTTTTGCCTTCACATGGGTTCTATCTTCTACCTAAAAGACCAGTGTGAGCTATTGCCTTCACTTGGGTTCTATCGTCTGCCTAAAGGGCCAATGTGAGCTATATCCTTCACTTGGGTTCTATCTTCTGCATAAAGGACCAGTGTGAGCTTTTGCCTTCACTTGTGTTCTATCTTCTACCCAAAGGACCAGTGTGAGCTATTGCCTTCACTTGGGTGTTATCTTCTGCCTAATGGGCCAGTGTGAGCTATTGCATTCACTTGGGTTCTATCTTCTGCCTTTAAGGGCCAGTGTGTGCTTTTGCCTTTACTTGGGTTCGATCTTCTGCCTAAAGGGCCAGTGTGAGCTATTTCCTTCACTTGAGTTCTATCGTCTGCCTAAAGATCCATTGTGAGCTATTCCCTTCACTTGGGTGCTATCTTCTGCCTAAAGGGCCAGTTTAGTCTAGTTCTTTCTCTTGGGTTCTATCGTCTGCCTAAAGGGCAAGTTTGGTCTACTAGTATTGCCTCCACTTGGATTAGATCGTCTACCTAAAGGGCCAGTTTGGTCTATTTCTTTCTCTTGGGTTCTATCTTCTTCCTAAAGGGCCAGTGTGAGCTATTGCCTTCACTTGGGTTCTATCTTCTGCTTTTAAGGGCCAGTGTGAGCTATTGCCTTCACTTGGGTTCTATCTTCTGCCTAAAGGACCAGTGTGAGCCATTTCCTTCACTTGTGTTCTATCTTCTGCCTTTAAGGGCCAGTGTGAGCTATTTCCTTCACTTGGGTTCTATCTTCTGCCTAAAGGGCCAGTGTGAGCTATTGCCTTCACTTGGGTTCAATCTTCTGCCTAAAGGGCCAGTGTGAGCATTGCCGTCACTTTTCATTCTATCATTTTCATCCTTAACTTTAACAAAAATCTTCTCTGAATCTGCTTGGCTAATTCAAACCAAACTTGGTCAAATATTTATTCTTAAAAAATTATCTGATGATCCTGCCTGTCATGCATATGACTGGCATGACTAAAAGTAGAAAAGTGGGGAGTATTTGCCCTTAAATGATTATTTTTTTCATGTTTTTGTGTTTTTACATATTATCTTGAAATTTTTAATAGAAAAATAGAAGTTTTATTGGCAGAACAGATGTACAAATCAAATACAAATAAGTCAACATGACAGAAATTGTCAGTAGAATCCGTATAGAAGTTATTGCCCTTAAATGACAATTTTTACCTTTTTTTTTTTGTGTTTTTGCCTTTTATCTTGAAAACTGTAACATATTGCTATTTTTTGTTGCAACAAAGATCAACAAGAAAAGATCTAAAAAGTTAACATGGCTGAAATTGTCAGTCTTCTCATTATTGGAGTTATTGCCCTTACTGACGATTTATGCCTCCTTATTTTGCATATTTGTATATTTATTTTGAAAACTAAAATAATCAGCAAGACCAGATCTGCAAGAAGGTCAGCATAGATGAAATTTTCAGTTGTCTTCTACTGAACTTCTTATTGGAGTTATTGCCCTTAAATGAACATGTTTAACCTTTTTTTTGTGTTTTGGAGAAAAAAACTTTAGAAGATAGAGAGAAACTGTAAACAAAAAAATTATCAACAAAAAAGAGATTTGAGTCATGAATCATATGCTAGTATACAACGTTGGAGGAGTGTTCATTATTGAAGATGCACATAGATCAAAGTGAGCGACACATGCTCTATAGAGCCTTTTGTTTCTGTAATGCTTCTATCTATTAGCGTCATATCATAAGAAGTTAAGGATCAAGCCGGTTTGGGTTTTGTTCCGGTTGAGTGGTATTTGCTAAGTTTGGGCCCTTTGAAAAAGAAAAATGCTTTAAAATCACACGTTTTTTACACTTTTTCCCTATAATGCTTGACAATTGATAGATATTTTGTATGCAGTCATATTATAAAAGATTTTTCGCGAAATTGTGGCCCTTTGAAATTGAAACTATTTCAAAATCTCAGTTTACCTCATTTTAGCATACCTGACCCATAGGGCCATGTCAGCTATCGCCATCATTCGGTGTCCGTCCTTGTCTTTCGTGGTCGTTAAATTTTTCACAGATGTTCTCCTCTGAAACTACTGAACCAATTTTAATTTGAACTTGTGCTGAATGATCCATAGTGTATTTAGTATACAAGTCGTGTTTTTTTTTATCCAGTCAGTCAACAAATATGGCCACTGTGGCTAAAACTGTAATATACAGATAAAATACAGTAACTGTAAACTATTATAGAATATGACAGGGCAAAAATACTGATGCTAAGATATACATACCTTCTATTTGTCCCAAAATAATCAGATGACTACTACATAAATGATCATCAATAAAATATCTACCAAAATACCACAATTGATCGAAATAATGGTAAAAATGAAAATAAAAATGGCATACTTTACCAGATGAA